ATGAACACATGTGCATGATAACAATAGTTGAAAAAGATAACCAAAATTATAACAATATGAGTAGTTTTGACCAAAAAGCTGTGTATGAATAACTTGAATTACCCAAAAAAAAAAAATGAAGGTTTTGGATTTGATTATAGAATTTAGAAGGCCCGTATAAAATGGTAGAAGAGTAGCAGCCCATGTCCAACACCAAATCATATAGCGCACTAGCGCAGCCCAGACTCTCGATATCCGCAAATTATGCCGTGGAATCGTGTTCACCGAGAATGGTGAACACAAGTCAAAACGACGTCGTTTTTAGGCAAAAAAAAAAAAAATCGCGGATGTGGAGTTAACGGCGCGTTACTGATCAAATTATGAATTTTCTGTTATGAGATTATGAATTTTATGAAAATTCATAATCTCATAACAAAAAATTCATAATCGCATAACAGAAAATTCATAATCTCACAACTGAAAATTCATAATCTCATAACAGAAAATTCATAATCTTATAACAGAAAATTCATAATCTCATGGTTCCAAAGTGAATGTGTAGGCATGGTTCCAAAGTGAATGTGCAGGCATGGATTCATAATTTATGAATGTCCGTGATTTCGGACGGGAATATGTAGGCATGGTTCCAAAGTGAATGTGCATGCATGAATTCATAATTTATGAATGTCTGAAACTCCGAAATTATGAATGTAATGAAAATTCATAATCTCATAACAGAAAATTCATAATCGCATAACAGAAAATTCATAATCTCATAACAGAAAATTCATAATCTCATAACAGAAAATTCATAATCTCATGGTTCCAAAGTGAATGTGTAGGCATTGTTCCAAAGTGAATATGTAGGCAGTCACGTAATTAATTAAAAAAAAAAAAAAAAAAAGAAAGATAACGGTGCACTAACACCGTTGGAACCGTGTTCACCATGAATGGTGAACACGGTTCCATGGCATAACGTCTGATTTGCGATCCGCAAATTATGCTGTGCAACCGAATGCACCATGCACATCGTGCATTTGATGCAAAACAACGTCGTTTTGATTAAAAAACGCGTGTCCCACTTAAAGAAGAAATTAGGTTCGATTCCCGGCAATAGCATTTTTATATATCCATAAATTTATAACTATATATCCATAAATTCATAATTATATATCCACAAATTCATAACTATATATGCACAGTGAATGAATGAAGTAAAAATCCACAATGAATGAACTAAATATCCACAGTGAATGAATGAAGTAAATATCTACAATGAATGAACTAAATATCCACAATGAATGAACTAAATATCCATAAATTGATAACTATATATCCACAAATTCATAACTATATATCCAGAAATTCATAACTATATATCTACAGTGAATGAATGAAGTAAATATTTACAATGAATGAATTAAATATCCACAATGAATGAATTAAATATCCATAAATTCATAACTATATATCCACAAATTCATAACTATATATCCACAATAATGCTATTGCCGAGAATCGAACCTGATTTTTTTTTTTTAAATGGGACGCACGTTTTTAGTCAAAACGACGTCGTTTTGCATCGTATGCACCATGCACATGGTGCATTCGGTTGCACAACATAACTATTGCTCGATATCCAGTCGTTATATCGTGGATCGCGTGAATAATCGATTATGCATCGCACATTAAAATGGCGCCATTTCTTTAAGTAAAGAAACGGCGCGTTGTAAGTGTTAACGGAGTGACACTACAGTGTATCTAAATCAACACTACAACGATATATTATCAAATGAAACTGCAATTATATCAAAATGATATTGTAGTTGTGGTGAAATGAAACTGTAGTATATACAAAGTGAAACTGAATAACATTTCACATATTTGAGTGTATACTGTACAATGAAGTTGTAATCATATCGAAATGATCATGTAGTTGTGTTTTAATGAAACTATAGTGTATATAAAATAAAATTAAAGAATATTTTCACATATTTGAGTGTATAAATATTGAATGAAACTGTAGTTATATCGAAATGAAACTGTAGTTGTGTTGAACTGAAACTGCAGTGTATACAAAATGAAACTGAAGAACAGAGTTATTTTTTGCGGAACGGATTCCGTTTCTTTTCATTAAATAAAACGACGTCGTTTTGATGCGCGGTGCACGATATAATTTGCCCTCGATCTCCAATAGTTATACCATGGATCCGGGTCCACCTTGCAAGGTGGACCCATCACAATTTACATACCGAATGTAATTCAAATTGTGAACGTTCAGTATGTAAATTATGAACATTTAATATATAAATTGTGAATATTCAGTATATAAATTGTATATTTTGACCCGGGTCCACATAATAATTTCCCTCTGATCTCAATTTCATACAACTATCTTTTTTTTCCACTGATTGCTGAGTCCCCATGCATAACTCTGAATGAAGGTGGCATTGTAGGCGTGCGAAAGCTCGTTCTCTTTCGCTGGCTGGCTGATGCTCAATTTCTTAGATGTTAGAATTGAGAGCAGAGGCAAGTTTTGATGTTAATAATAGCCGCCTGGCAAGTTTTAGGGTTTAGGCTGCAGATTGTTGTTGAGTAGATGGAGAAATTATTAGCAGGCCAGGAAGGGCGGGCGGGCGGGTGTGCTTCCTACAACGTAACTTCAACTTGTGTGAATAATTTAGATAGATAATAATGATCCTGCAATATAATTAAGCAAGGTGCGCTGATTTGTTTAATAATGGTTAGTTTGAGCCATATTTGTATGCAGGTGGGCGGGTGATCGAGTATGTATAGTATATTGATGGATTGGAGATTATATATTGTGAAGGTTTTGTGATTGATATATGGATCATGTGTATTGTTGCTTTCTTAATTAATTGTTAGCTTTAACATACAAGCAACATACACCAAATTAAAACACCCAAGAATTGAAGATCCGATCCAGCTAGCTAGCTAAAGTTGATGTATGTGATCCAAGTTATGCATCCTTCCAAATGCACATGTCAATGAGGTGTGGGCCTGATTGGTCATAGGATCTTGTGATCGCATTCGCATATATATAGGGCACATGTTGGTTAGAATACATGTTTCCTCATCCTCCATCACTTCCATCTTCTCATTCTTAGATTTTAGTGCTTGTAAACGTATAGTAGTCCATCGTCATTTTCCCCCATACTTCATCTTCTTTTAATTTTCATGGATCGATGCATTCATATCATCACTTACTGCCCCAACATAAATATAATGTACTTCACTTAATTGCTCTAAAATAAATACAAGCATTATACACTAGATAGATCATGCATGATATGGTCCATGGCATTGTTTCTTTAATCTTAATGAAAATAAACGACAAGTGTTAGGTTCTTTACGTTTTGCGGTGCACTTAATTTTATTTATTTATTTTTTTTAAAAGTAATGTTGTAATGAAACTGAATAACATATTTCTTATATTGAGTAAATATTGTCAATTAAATGAAACTGTAATCGAAATAGCTAGAATGATAATTTAGTGGTGCTATAATAAAACTAGAGTGTGTATAAAATGAAACTGAATAGTATGTTTCACATTTTTAACGTAGATTGTCAAATGAAACTGTAGTTGAATAAAAATGATACTTCAATGGTACTATAATGAAATCATATTGGGCCTAAAATGAAATGAATAGCAAGCCTTACATATTGAATGTATATATTGTTAAATGAAATTGTAATTTAATTAGAATGATACTTATCGGGTAGTGCTATAATGAAACTATAGTGTGTATAGTATAAAATGAAACTAAATAACATGTCACATATTGCGTGTATATTGTCAAATAAATTAAACTTTAGTTGAATAATAATGATACTTTAGTGGTGATGTAATGAAACTATATTGTGTATAAAATGCGGTTGAATAACATGTTTCACATATTGAGTGTATATTGTCAAATAAATTAAAATTGTAGTTGAATTAGAATGATATTGTAATGGTGCTATAATCAAACTATAATATGTATAAAATGAAACTAAATAATGAGAGAGGTTGTTACATGAACCATAACAGAATTTGTCAATCTACCATTATTAATAGAAAAAACTTTGAACGGCGTCATTTTCCTATCCAGTTCACGGTGCTACCGTGCTACGTGAATTACGGTCCACAGTAAAATTTGTCAAATAAATAATGCACCCAACTCCTACATTCCTATGGGAATTGAAACCTCAACCATGCATGGGGCCAGGACCTGCGTTCGTTACTTCTTCAATTTGTGCATTAAAATTTGACAACAGTACGTACAGTGGATGTTAGGATGCCTGCAAAATCTAAGAATGTCTGCAAAATGGAAATCGACCTACTACATACTTTAAAAAAAAAATAAAAAAATACATTATAATAAAAAATGACATGCATTATTGTTGCGTCAAATTGTACCAAGTACAATAAAACTTCTTAGTTTGAATTGGGTCATGTAGAATGTTGTGATACAACTAAACATGTATTTAGATTGTATAGAATACAAATTAGCTTTTAAATATTTTTCTATATATGTATATTTGATATCATTTCAAAGAGAACCAATCAATAAAACGGATAATTTTTATTTTTACAAAATTTATGTAAATTCTTATCTTGTATACATCAATGATCTGATCCAAATAAGGAATTGAATGAAGTTTATCCGGTGCAAGCAAATTTAGTAATTGTATTAGAAAGGGCCCACTTCATAATTACATAACCTTATGAATAATATGATGAAAAATAAAGGAAATATAGATGGAGTTCAAAATTAGAATGGCATGAAACTGTGAGCTGTCAGCCTAACCTTGGAATTCTAGGTACAATAATAGTATACAGTTTTGGGGTACCCCTGGTGTGGAAAACAGTTTGCGAATGTGAATGGAGGGGTAATTTCGTCTATAAGCATAGATTGGATAATTTGGTAATATATGGCACAATGTAATGGCAAATTAGTAAACCATATCCTATATAAGAACGTGAATTAAGTTGGAGAGGACAGTCATACAGCAACTAACGCCAAAGCATACTCAGCTCGCTACAATTTCCATTCCTTGACAACAACTGACGTACGTGCTTGATGGCTATGGCTAACTTCAAGATGGTAGGCTCAATAGATCTATGATATATATATATATCTATCTCGTTTAATTTATAATTTTATTGTATGTGAATGTGAATTATATAATGGATGAATTGAATGGGCATATATGCATGGTTAGGCGGCGGGTCGGGCAGGGATGTGGGTGACGGATGAATGCAAGAATTCGTTCATGGAGATGAAGTGGAAGAAGGTGCACAGGTACATAGTTTTCAAGTTTGAGGAGGAGAAGATGAATTATTTTAAGTCAGGAGGAAGAGGGATGTTGAAGCTGAAGGTGGACAAGGTGGGCGGAGCCGGCGAAAGCTATGAGGATCTGCTCGCGTCTCTCCCCAAAGACGAATGCCGATACGCTGTCTTTGATTTCGACTTCGTCACCCTCGATAATTGCCGGAAAAGCAAGATCTTCTTCATTGCATGGTTTGTTTGTTTGTTTAATTAATTTCTTGCAGGCCAGGCAGGCAGGCTAATTAATTAATATGATATGATAGATCCATTATTTTATTTTATTCAATTCTCACGTAATAATATATATAATGGTGGTACGGTACGGTGCAGGGCGCCAGCGGAATCAAGAATCCGGGCAAAAATGGTTTATGCAACCTCGAAAGATGGATTGAGGAGAGCACTGGAAGGGATTCACTATGAAGTTCAAGCCACAGACCCAACGGAGATGGGAATGGATGTCATCAAGGAAAGATTAATCAAATAATATAATCATCCATCCAATTACTTCCATCCCATCCCATCCCATCCCATCCATCTTTAACGTAACGTAACACCATTATATACATATAGTATGACATAATGCAATGTCTATCTCTCGTTACTATACATAAATATAATCAACAAATTAAAATAGCTAGATACATAGCTAGCAAGCTAGATTACTAGTATTACTTGAGTTGAACTATCTATAGTACATAATTAGTCCCAATAGTTTTACTATTACTATTGCTATGTATGTTTCCTATTTTGATTAGTTAATTATCAATCTAATGACAATTGTTCAATCAAAATATATATGTTATGTATGTGGGGCTTTGTCATGAAAGTAGATAATATAAATATATACATATATAGATGGTTTTGCTTTTGATGAGGCCCACACATGGTGGATTGCGTGACTATATATGTTAAGAAATAAATTAAAGCGAAATGCATGCATGTAAGATTAACCTTATTAAACTGTGAATAGTAAGGCATGTATTGGACCTTGGATCAATAATATTTTTATTTATTGTGTTAGATTAGTGATAAAAGTAATATATTGTTCCATCTCCGATCCTCCAAAAGGTTTTCCAATCTGATCTCAGCTCCTTACATTATGTTATTGTTTTGCTATATATATATATATATATATGCTGGGCTATCACTACATACAGCATATGATATCAGAGTAGTAGCATCATATCATGTAGACCAATTGCACTTCATATATATATATATATATATATATATATATATATATATATATATATATATATATATATATAATATATAATCAATATAATGGTACGGTAAACGCCCGGCCCGCCCACTTGGATCTATATATCACTAACTTAATTACCACCAATTCGATCAGACGTTATGCCATGGAACCGTGTTCAGCATTCATGGTGAACACGGTTCCAACAGTGTTAGTACACCGTTATCTTCTTCTTCTTCTTTTTTTTTTTTTTTTTTTTTTTTTTTTTAATATTGCGTGACTTTTCTTTTTTATTTTCACATTTTGCGGTTTCACTTTAATTTGAGGTGAACAAAGATTTCAGACATTCATAAATTATGAATTCATGCCTGCATATTCACTTTGGAACCTTGCTTACACATTCCCGTCCGAAATCACGGACATTCATAAATTATGAATCCATGCCTGCACATTCACTTTGGAACCATGCCTACACATTCACTTTGAAACCATGAGATTATGAATTTTCTGTTATAAGATTATGAATTTTCTGTTATGAGATTATGAATTTTCTGTTATGAGATTATGAATTTTCTGTTATGCGATTATGAATTTTCTGTTATGAGATTATGAATTTTCATTACATTCATAATTTCGGACATTCATAAATTATGAATTCATGCCTGCACATTCACTTTGGAACCATGCCTACATATTCCCGTCCGAAATCACGGACATTCATAAATTATGAATCCATGCCTGTACATTCACTTTGGAACCATGCCTACATATTCACTTTGGAACCATGAGATTATGAATTTTCTGTTATAAGATTATGAATTTTCTGTTATGAGATTATAAATTTTCAGTTGTGAGATTATGAATTTTCTATTATGCGATTATGAATTTTCTGTTATGAGATTATGAATTTTCATAAAATTCATAATCTCATAACATAAAATTCATAATTTGATCAAACGCGCGCCGTTAACTCCACATTCGCGATTTTTTTTTTTTTTTGCCTCAAAACGACGTCGTTTTGCCTTGTGTTCACCATTCTCCGTGAACACGATTCCATGGCATAATTTGCGCAATTCGATCAAGCAAGCCATTTCCCATTTGAAGTTAGAAGAAGCTGCTGCATGTCTCACTCGATCTCACATACCATCAACTCATTTCAATAAAAGACTGACCACTACTAAATGGGTTGGCCCAATAAAATTGTATGGGCCCCCACACACTCTTTTGAAATTAAAAGCTCTATCATCCGATCCATGTCTTATACCCTGCCTGCCGCCTGCAGCCTGCAACATATACATATACTATATTATTAAAATAAACAAAGACTAGTACGTTGAGATTAAATATTATTAAGTAGTCCAAAATTTGAAGTATATAATTCTTTATTTATTTATTGCAGACTTGCAGTGTGAGTGTGGAGTGTTGGTTGGAATAAGAACCGAATAATATTAAAAAGAAAGGAGCGGAGGCTTGAATGGGAAGCATCTACCTTTTCTCATTCCATTTAATTTGGAGTTGAACACAAATTAAGTCGGACAAATAACTTGTAGTTCAATGACATCTTGTAACTCTTTCAAATGAAAAATTACATATTAAATTAAAGAGAAGAACTTAGTTTTGATTATAAAAATTAGAAGATTAAATCTAAAAATTGAGATAAAGAAGCAACTACAATTTGAAATTGTCCTCCAATTATTAAATAAAATGGTTTGATTAAAGTAAAAAGTATTTTGGGGGAGTTTCTATGGAAGAAAATTTAAAGAGAGAAAGTGGAAAAATAGAATATCTCAAAAAATAACCATCACTTATATATTATATAAAGTTTGAAATCACACCAAATTGTAACTACTCGATATGAAATTACGGTATGAGTGTGTTGATAGCCTATCAAATTTAGGAGATCACAAATTCAAATCTTAATGAAACATTAACTCTTTGTGTTTTAATAGATTGAGAAAATATGTATAAATGAATACCATAATAAAGTTATTATTTAAGAAAACACAAATTGAGCCGATTACACGTACAAAGTACAAAACAGGATGGGAGCATCCAATTAAACTTTGGTAGGTGCCAGTGAAGAGAAGAGGTAAAAGTGGGACCGACGGGTTGATCATATGTCCACCACTCTCACTACACATAATCATAATCATGCACCTGCCAGCCCAATTAGGCCCTTTCTAATTTACCATCTCATCTCATCACACATCACATCATCCGTCATTAAGCTAAGGTTAACAGAATAATACGGAGTAATTCTAAATGGAATCCCATTTTCTACTATAAGGGATATTCATGATTTTTATTCATTTCTTTTAATTTGAACATTTAACATAAATAAAAGTTGAGAGTAAATTTTTAAAGTTTAACTAGTATTTTTTAAAATTAACAACTTATTTTCTTTTGTTCCGATCCCTAATGATCAATTTGTGGAGATGAGATAATGTTAACAAATTAAACAAAAACTAAATATATAGTTTTTGATGAGAAAAAGAACATACATAAACTAAATTTTACCTCCATGTCATCTGCTCGATCTCATATTAACCATTACCAGTTGTTCATTGCGTGCTTCTTATTAATACACTTTCTCTTTAAACTCCCTTTTAATTTACTTTTTTCTGTCCGGCCTGTTTTGATTTTTTTTTATCCTAAAGCAAAGGTAGGGATGCCTGCTATTTCCAATAAATCTATTAGATCATACATGTATGTATGTATTATGGCCCAGGATCGGATCGAAATTTCCTTCTGTAAAATTGTCGGTTGGTTTAAACATATATAATATCATTATTATGTATGTAGTCTATATTAAAAGGTTTTTATGTTTTTTGTTTTCTAATAATACAATATGGGGAAAATAATGGAAATGAAATAGACTTGACATGATTTATTTGTGTGGTACGGGGAGCATCATATTCATATCGCAGTTAGGAAGTTGCATGGATGAGAGGCCTCGCGCGCCCTCCTCGTCATCGTCATAACTCACAACAATCTCATTTTCGGATTGGTTGGTTGGTACATGAAAAATTAGCTGCAACACACACTGACACACACACATTATGATTCATTGATACTATACATTCCATCGCATATCATATGCATGCTTATCTTCTCACTCTTTCTTTATCAATCAATATTTAATTTATCACTGCCTTTTAATTAATTTCATTTATTTATATATATTTATACATGCCCGTACTGACCCACAGCATGTGTGTTAACATAAATTGTATAATGCCAATTGCAATTCGCTTTCACCCACTGCACATTTTTGTACTTACAGCTCCCAATACAGTTAAAACCATACATTTTAACCTTAATTATCTTGTAATTATGTAAACATATTATTCGTGGTTTTACAACTAATAAAGTTGTCCACAATCGACCAATATAATATATTGAAAACTAAGTTAAAAAACCAGAAATATAATTAAGGTCGGATCACTAGAGTTGCTATGATTGACAAGTATTTAGAAAAAAGCATAAGCACAGCGATTGAATTGAAAAATGGAGTGAGATATTCACAGCCACGTGGACGGCGCCATAGTTTGATATGCCGCAAAATGTGGGCTGACTCATCAGTAATCAACGACTAGTACTTTAATTTATAGCGATCGACAAAATCATATCTGCTTTAATTAATCCATCTGCTAAAATTCTAATTAAAATTAAAATAATAAGATGACAATAATGCTCCTATAACACTGCAGCCTTGTCGGTAAATGGAAATGCCTCTCACTCACTAGTCAGTAGTCACTAGACTCTCCTCTACTCCGAGGGATCCAATGGCTCACTCTTTCCTCTTCTTCTTTTTCTTCTTCTTCCTTCTCACTGTTCCGGCGGCTTTGGCCGATGGGTCGCCCAAAACATACATATTCCGGGTGGACAGCCGTACAAAGCCAGCTATTTTCCCTACCCATTACCACTGGTACACCTCCGAATTTACTCAACCATCCAACATCCTTCACGTTTATGACACCGTTTTTCATGGATTCTCAGCCTCCCTAAATCCATCCCAGGCCGCTTCCGTGCTTCGCCATCCCTCCATCCTCGCCGCTTTCGAGGACCGCCGCAGGCAGCTTCATACCACTAGGTCCCCTCAATTTCTCGGCCTCAGGAACCAGCGAGGTCTCTGGTCCGACTCTGATTACGGCTCCGATGTCATCATTGGAGTGTTCGATACCGGAGTTTGGCCGGAGAGGCGGAGCTTTTCTGATCTGAATCTCGGACCCGTTCCTAGCCGTTGGAAGGGGGTTTGCGAAACGGGAGCCAAGTTCACTGCTCAAAATTGTAATAGGAAAATCGTTGGAGCTCGGTTTTTCTCCAAGGGCCATGAGGCCGGCGGATTCGGTGGAATCGGCGGCGGTATCAATGATACTATTGAGTTCCGATCCCCCAGAGATGCCGACGGTCACGGCACTCACACCGCCTCCACCGCAGCGGGAAGGTATGCTTTCCGTGCTAGTATGTCAGGTTATGCATCGGGAATCGCTAAAGGTGTTGCGCCCAAAGCTCGATTGGCTATTTACAAAGTATGCTGGAAGAATGCGGGTTGCTTTGACTCCGACATTCTCGCCGCTTTTGATGCTGCTGTTGCCGACGGTGTAGATGTCATTTCGATCTCGATTGGAGGAGGCGACGGTGTGTCTTCGCCGTATTACCTAGATCCTATTGCCATCGGAGCTTACGGCGCCGTTTCAAGGGGCGTGTTTGTGTCCTCATCAGCTGGCAACGATGGCCCTAACGGAATGTCCGTAACTAACCTTGCTCCGTGGCTGATGACAGTCGGCGCCGGCACAATCGACCGGAATTTCCCAGCGGAAGTAATCCTGAGTGACGGTAGGAAGTTTTCGGGAGTATCACTGTACGCAGGATTGCCATTGAAGGGGAAAATGTATCCCTTGGTTTACCCCGGTAAATCGGGCGTGCTCTCTGCTTCACTGTGTATGGAAAATTCACTTGATCCCAATGAAGTTAGGGGTAAGATCGTGATCTGTGATCGCGGGAGCAATCCGCGAGTAGCCAAGGGAATGGTGGTGAAGAAAGCCGGTGGAATCGGAATGATACTTGCCAACGGCGTGTCCAACGGCGAGGGCCTTGTTGGGGATGCTCACTTATTACCAGCTTGTTCTGTTGGATCATACGAAGGTAATGCTATTAAATCCTTGATAGCTTCAAATCGAACTGCAACTGCAACAATTAACTTCTACGGGACCGTAATTGGAGTAAAACCAGCACCGGTTGTGGCTTCATTCTCGGCCAGAGGCCCAAACGGGCTAAACCCTGAGATATTGAAGCCAGACTTGATCGCCCCGGGAGTGAACATTTTAGCTGCCTGGACTGATGCGGTTGGCCCAACCGGGTTAGATCTAGATACCAGAAAAGCAGAATTCAATATTTTGTCTGGTACTTCAATGGCTTGTCCTCATGTCAGTGGTGCGGCGGCCTTGCTCAAATCCGCCCATCCTGACTGGAGCCCTGCTGCAATAAGATCAGCTATGATGACAACCGCCAGCAGAGTTAATAACAAGCTGCAAGCAATGACGGATGAGGCCACTGGAAAAGCAGCCACTCCATATGATTTTGGTGCAGGCCACTTGAATCTTGACCTCGCCATGGACCCTGGACTGGTGTATGATCTAACCAATGAAGACTATGTTACCTTCTTGTGTGCAATTGAGTACGGCCCAAAGACGATTCAGGTGATCACAAGATCACCGGTGAATTGCCCAATGAAGAAGCCAGTGCCAGAGAATCTAAACTATCCGTCAATCGCTGCATTGTTTTCAAGCTCAGCTACTGGAACGTCGAGCAAGACATTCTTCAGGACAGTGACAAATGTGGGGGAGACGAACGCAGTGTACAGGGTGAAGGTCGAGGCACCCAAGGGAGTGAGCGTGAGTGTGAAGCCAATGAAGCTGGTGTTCTCGGAGACAGTGAGGAAATTGAACTACTATGTGACAATCAGCATGGATAGCAAGAACGTGGTGTTGGATGATTCGGGTGCTGTTTTTGGTTCACTTTCTTGGACGGATGGGAAGCATGTGGTTCGAAGCATCATAACAGTGACCCAACTGGAGCCATTGTAGAAGACTGCAAATGCTGAATGCATATGCATATGCATGCACCAGAAGTTGTTAAGGGTTATTAGCAGACAATGCAAGAAAGAAATTAATTAATTAAAATAGATGAGAGATGAGAGATGAGATGGAGCATTGGAGCAGCTAGAATGGTTGGTACCTATTATGTTTATGTAATGTAATGTAGTACTTAGATGGAGTGTGAAGTAGCAGAAGTGTGCTGCTTGGTTGCTTGCTATGCCTAGATAGATTAGATAGCCTAAGCCGCTTCCTCCGACTCGGAGGAAGCTAGCATGCATGCAACCATTTTCCCTAGTCCTGTTTTGGTTTGATTTATTTTGTCGTGTGGAGTGCTATTATTTAGAAAGAAGTTAGTTGGTGGTAGTATAGTGAAATGAATGAAACAGAGTTAATGTTAAATTATTAGAGCAGAGCATTAACACATTAAATTATAGGCTACGACCTGCTGCGCTCTATAATACTTAATTATTTGCGCTAGCTTCTTGTATGTGCGTGTTCCCTTCCGTAGTCATAATCAGAGACACCAACTTGGTTGTCGTTATGTACCACATTTTTCAACCAATTACTCAATCCTCACCAAACATATATATATTTTTGAAAATATATAAACATGGATCTGTGATCTAGTTTAAGGCATTCAAACCCAAGTATTTATTGGTGGGTGGGTGGGTGCTAATTAGTCCGATACAGTTTAGAGCCTTGAACCCGGCCTATCTATGTTATGGAATCTTTTATATAGAATATGTTTGAGCAGCGAGCATCCTTAGAACGAATGTGGGAGGGCATATATATATTGTGAGATGATGGAGGGTAGGGCACTAGGGCAGGGGTATAAATTCCCTTCCCAGTTCCCTGCTAGCTAGCTAGCTTTTAAGTAGTCACGTCGTTCATGATATTGCATGCTTGTTTTTGTATGGTTGAGGTGGTCGGTGGAAGGAATCTGATGCCAACAACGACTTCCACTGTCACAACTGCCTGCACGAGTAACGAGTTACTTTCCTAGCTTCCTGCCTACTGCCCGCCATGCTTCAACAACAACTCCTGCAATATAATAGAACCAACAGACAAAATACGCTCAGTGTCTGAAGCACCACCCATCTCTGCGTCCATCTTCCAATCTTCATCTCAGCCTCTGACCAATGTACATTTCAATTGGGAAGTAAACCGTCAAAGCCCAAAATCCAAGAGCTCCCAATAATCCAACAACGTCGTTGAAGAAAGACAAGACGACGATTGTAACCATTACAAACAACCTCCTCCATACGACCCCAAACAAATTGAGCTTATAATTGCCGTCGTATAGAGGGAGATGGATGTGGCAAGTTACAGCTCTTTAACCATTCAGTAAACTAGTAATCACTAATCAACAAAGAGTTAGGGACGCAAGCTGACGTAATCTGTTGCCCTTGAAACTCCAACCAAAAACAAAATAACTTTAATTCACAAAAGTGTGCAGCTTCAGCATATGTGCGTAAGAGTAATTAATGTTAAGTTGATGAATTATACTCCGTAATTAAGGAAATAAAGCTCAACTTCATAGGGACCTTTAGCACGTACTAAATTGGTGCTTTACATAAAATGTATTGTCTATTATGTATTCAATGCAGCATATTATAACCGCGTTTTACATACAATACAATACCCGATCCGTTAATTATTATGTATTAGTAGAAGGTTCATCTACTTATTAACACCTGAAGTTGCAGGGTGTTATTTTGAATATCAGGTCTAGAAACTTAAATAAGATAGATGCAGCCAACCCAAGGTCTTCCTTCCATCATCCATCATCTATTTCATCCTCTTTCGAACTTCATACATGTAACTCAATACCACGACTGCAGCAGCAACAGCAACCCCGACAGCACTTTGCACCAATACAGTGCTGTCCTTCACGGTCTTGGGACTGGATGGAGTAAATCCAAGCTCAGACAGTTTCTTGTGTGACGTAGCATAATCCTTAAAGAAGGCTTCTTCATCCTGCATGCAAAACTTGCATTACGATTCAACTATGGGATGGGGGAAGCTGTTGACCCAATTATTTTAAATGGGAGTGTAGTTAGAAATCACTCTGCGCATTACCCCCCAAAAAAACAGAAAGCAGTTTCGTTTCATTAAGCTAACATTGTGCATGTGTAGAAATAACTAGATCGCATTCAATTTCTACTTTCAGAGTGAAAGACTATAAGGTACAAGTTCGTTGGTAATCACAGCTTAGAGACGCTATAGACTAAGCTAACAGTATTATCTATGAAGTGCAGCCCAGTTGCTTCAAGACAAAAATGAAAGCTTAGCAAAACCAGGAAAGGATGATTTACTTGGAGCAAAAGTGAAAACCCATTCAATGCAGTAAAATTAAATAAAATGAATGCAATAGCAGAGAGAGAAGGGTCATTTTGTTCTTTTTCTAGTGGGGAAAAAACTGTTACCTTAGCATACAGCTCAACATAACGATGAAACTCTGGATCATCCAACAAAGCTTTGTCAGTGGGAAGTTTTAGCAGGCCTTCACTTTCATCATTAAGCAGTTCCCTGATATCAAAACATTGATAGTGAACATGAGGAAAACAGTAGAAACAAGAACAATTAATTTCCATATATGTGGTAATCTGTATATGTTGGTTTCCCACAAGTCTTACACAAAGTAAGAGTTGTCAAATTTCAGTGGCTCCTTTGTCCATGGACCATCAAAACCAGATCTCTCTGGATGTGCCCTTCCCTGCACATAATTGGAAACAAACAGCTTATTTATGTCCAATGAAATCATTTGGGAATTAAAGAGGAAGGCTTGGAATGTGCTAAATATATTTGAAGGGAATGCAAACTACCAGCGTGTGACCTCCTGATAGAGCTACAATATCTCTATCAGACAAACCCATGCGATAGAAGACGTCCTTCAAATGTGGCACGCCTATAACAATATCAAGACAAAATTGATATTCAAGCTAAATTTCGATACATCATACTATGCAAACAACAGTAAATCATACTCATGATGAGGTTGGTACATTTAGATTTGCCAAGAAGATTTAGATGGTTCAAGCAAAGTCATTGTCAACACAGTGAAATTACTTTGGTACTAAAAAGAAGTAATAATACTAATATAAAACCCAAGCAGAATACTCAACAGCCATCAACCATCAATAGCCACTGTCGTCAATTTTCAAATTAGTTTATCCACAGGTGCATGCATTAGATAGACATTAAGGAGTTCAATTGATACAGCTGGTGCTAACAACATGACCGCATGCATTATCCTATTATAGAAGCTTCAACTAAACAACCAAGGGGCTATCAGGCTATGTGACTTGACAACTGTTGTATAAATTTAAATACCATTTTAATTCCTGCTACTATAATCCAAAATTTCTCTCTTATTTTCTTTTCACTCCATTCTTTTTTTTATCCTTGTATCTTCTCTTTTGCATTCTTTTCTCTGCCGTGTGTGCTTTCAACTGAGAATATGCAAGAGTGGTTAAAGTAAAGCAAATGTTGAATTGCTTTATTGAATGATAACACTTGTACGAGAACCCTTAATAGGACCATCTTTCTCCATGGTTCTTAGAAGAGAGGGGGAAAATCAGAATCTACTATTCAATGCTTGCATAAAAAACCGAAATGCCTGAGAAATAATTGTTTGGAAAAAAAAATAAAAAATCACATGTGGTTCTTTGGGAAACCTTGCTTAGCATCTGGAAGCCGTCCTTCCTTTGGAGAAACCTTTGAGTCCTACAACAAATAGACAAGCAAATGAGATTTAAGATATCAAATGAAAATGTAACCGCATTACTGCAACTTATGGTTGGATTCAAACAAATTTACAAACCTTCCTGCCAGGAACAAAATCAATGGAAGGACCACCAGTGACCTCAACAGCAACATAACCTGCAAGCTAAGATGCCCAATATATTTATAAATTAGTTAGTCCAATGTTCAATAATTGCGTGGCGCCTGAAACATATGCAAGCCAGTAGAATTTAAAAAGCGTAGATGTATGAACTATCACTTCTCATGTCATCATACATCAATAGAAATGTAATTAAATTGAACTAGAAATATTACAGAAAATATAAAGAGTTAGCATGTGGGCACAAACTAAAACACTGGAAATAATCACTCAATGTATGAAAGAAGTTGTGCAAGTAATATAAAAATAATCACCTGGTATAAGTCTGCATATGTAATCTTTGGATGTTTAGACTTCACTGCCTCTGTCATCAGAAACACAGCCAATCAAAGGTTGACATATGTTTACTTGAATCTTTAAAAGAGTTCAGCAAAACAGAATGGCAGAGGGAATGAAAGTGAGGAGTGCAAACTCTTCCAAAGGCATTGAGCAGTTTACATATTAACCTCCGGGATTTAGGAGCAGACTCAATCAAGGCTCACATAATCATTATTTATTAGTGTGATGAACACTTACTTCACTAGCAATGAACCTTCTTTTATGAGTCAAAGAGCAGTGAACATTATCTTCAAATGTAATGAATAGAACAATAATACACATTTATTATTATTATATATATATCCTCAACAAAGCATTCAAAGCAATTGCTATGAAAATCTATTACAAATATGAGAAACATTTGCCTGAGGCCATGTTTGGTAATATGGGGATTATGACTTTAAAATTGACTAGTATTCTCATATTTGAATCTCTCTCACTTAGGATTACTAGAGAAACGACAAACATGGGAAGCTTGTTGAGTAAAGTTGTCAAACATAACAGTGGAAATTGGAAAACAATCACTTCATACTCTAAACACTCTATATCAAAGAAGCTAAGGAATCTATTATTTGAAACTAGAACCTGCACCATAGAAATATTTAAGCGCCTATCTAAACCTTTGTTATACTGACTATTAAATAAATTACAGAGTACTAGAATAGCGAGCTAGCTCATCATCATCACATCATAGGTACTAAAATGTACTAACCAAGATATCAAGGGTAGAAATATAGAGGTTCAAAAACCAAAAGTAATACCGCAAAAATCTAAAGCTATTTTCAAGCCATTATTGGCGCCGTGGCTATATTCCTCCTCATTTCTGATTGAACCGTTTGGTCCTCCAGTCTTTGTCTTAGCATCATAGGTTCCAGCGTCGTGCCATCTACAATCAAATTACCAAAATATCTAAATATCCTCTTATTTTTTAGTTGATGTTATATTTTCTTCAATTTCATACAAAAAGAAAAACGAGAGAGAGGAGAGTACGCTAAGCGAAGCATAATAGGGGCACAGTTCTTGCTGGAGATTAAAGCGCGGAGGTCGCGACGAGCTTTCTCGATCTCCTTGAGGTACTCGGCGTCGACGATGGCCTTAGCCATTGGAGGGAGGGAGTTGTGAATTGTGATCGGAAAATCAGATAAGATTAGCCCAAGTGATTGGCGACTGGTTGTATTTGTCAGTGAAATGATCTTTTCTTTTCCAGTTTATAGTTTTTTTTTTTTAATTTATAGAAACTATTTTTCTGATTGGCTCTGTTCAATCTCAATGGGTCAAAGAGGAAGGCCCATTACGATTACTCCGATGAACAAATTAGCCCACGGAACATGTGGATATTATATTATATTATATTACTAGTAATTCAACCGATGCACAGAAAAAAATTATGTTATTATAAATATAAATAAAAAATAGAAAAATTAAAATATTTTAAATTATTTAATATAATAATATTTTTGAGCTTCCATTGGTCAAGTATTTATTATTTTTATAAAATACAAAATTACAATTAAAATTATAATTATAATTTTGTATGGTTAATATAATCTCTAATTATGTGCATATTCAAATAAATTTATAGAGAGAATTTACATAATTACATTGATTTATTCTTAATTGTATTTCATCTATATTATAATTTTCATAATACGAATAATAACTGATACTGCTAATTACTACGTAAGCAATAATTAAATAAACCCGAGACCAAATAAAGCAAGTAAATATTTCTATTGATCACGGTGAAGGCCCTAAGTACAATCTACTTGGTTGCTCTGAGTACCGACTGACTGCGGTCGGGATTCTCTAACAACAACCTATCGATCGTCCAAAAGTCCCTCACATTGTAGCTACTGTGGGTATTTATAGCCGCTGCGCCGGAGACACAAATCCGGTCGTTAGGCATGCTCTCCACGTAGCCACCACGTGTCATCCTCCCGGGTGCCCTGTCTGTCGTCGCAAGGAACCGCCACGTGTCCTTTGTCAGCTCTCTGGCCAAAGGGCTACCGCTCGGTGGTCGACACTGCCGCTCGGGCAACTTCTTCGGGGTCCTCCACTTGGGTGGGGACCTCGGCTGCTTGCTGGGCCTGCCGTGGTGCCTCCATCGCATCATCACCCCCCGACCCCAACCGCAAACGAGCCGAGCGTCGATCCCGGGAAGCGGACTGATGCTGCGGCTCTACTTGTGCGGCCGGGTAAACTGGAGGGGCGGCGGCTGGAGCCGTGTACGCAGGCGTATATGGTGGATAGCCAACCAGGGGCGTGTAGTACATCGGTTGGCCAGGCCAATACCCGTACGGCGGAGGTGGGACCGGGTATGGATACTGGCCGGGATACATCATCGGCTGTTGTGGATATGGCTGACCGGGTGTTGGGTACCCCGGTTGAATGTAGTTCACCGGCTGTTGGGCGGCCGGGTATGTGTTGGATGGATGTGGTGGTGAGAGATTGAGGTTGATGTCTATGGTCTGACCTTGTTGTTGCGTTGCCTGGTGGTCGGATGAACTGGCTGCATCCGCCTGGTCGTCAGCAAAAAGGTTTTGTGCCCACGGATACATTGTTGATGAAGGACCGGGTGCTCGTCAAGACGTTTGCTTTCTTGCACGGGTCCCCACAGACGGCGCCAAAATGATACTGCTAATTACTACGTAAGCAATAATTAAATAAACCCGAGACCAAATAAAGCAAGTAAATATTTCTATTGATCACGGTGAAGGCCCTAAGTACAATCTACTTGGTTGCTCTGAGTACCGACTGACTGCGGTCGGGATTCTCTAACAACAACCTATCGATCGTCCAAAAGTCCCTCACACTGTAGCTACTGTGGGTATTTATAGCCGCTACGCCGGAGACACAAATCCGGTCGTTCGGCATGCTCTCCACGTAGCCACCACGTTTCATCCTCCCGGGTGCCCTGTCTGTCGTCGCAAGGAACCGCCACGTGTCCTTTGTCAGCTCTCGCCAAAGGGCTACCGCTCGGTGGTCGACACTGCCGCTCGGGCAACTCCCGGTCGGAGAAGCCCGACCTGTTACCTGTAAAGACAAGAAGAAAAAGACAAAGACAGACCAGCCGGGGTAAAATAATGTCGGTCGGGATATTCCCTACCAATAACTAAGATAATTACATTTGGAAAGCAAATTTCAAATTTTGTAGGTGTAAATTTAAACTCTAATTGAACACATTTTTTATATGATTATATAATATATAGCTATTTTATTTTTCAAAAGTATATTTTTTTATATGATTATATAATATATAGCTATTTTATTTTTTAAATGTTGTGTTTTTTTTTTTATAATAAAAGATGTTGTTGCATTAATTGTAACATTAAATATTTCTCAAACCATATAGCTTTATTATATAAAGGTTACGATAATAGCTCTATATTTATTCATTCATTACTCGGTTAGTACTATATTCACATTTATATTAGGAGAAATGATCAAAAAAGTCATTAAATTTTACGAGCAATTAAATTTTTAAATTTTTAAAATGTACAATTAAGTCTTTTAAAATATTTTTTTCGTGCATAGAAACTCACCAACCAAATATGGACTTGTTACAGCCCGTCCTATTGTTGCGATGAAGAAGACAACCATTTTTAATAGCTTTTGGGAGATGACTATTTATGGTCGCTCTTCTTCAATATGAAAAAGGCAACGACACCGGTAGTCTTCCTTTTCAAGAAGACAATCAGTTTTGTCAACTAACATGTAGTAGTAGAAACAATGGTGATTTTATTATGGACAACAATCAAAGATGACTAATAGTAATTTATCAATAACTTATTGAGTTAATACCCAAAATCGTCTTCGACTATAGTGGTTTTTCTCAATTTTGTCCTAAACAACTTTGGTGACTTAATGTAGTCCCAGAGTTTTGTGTTTTTATTCAATTTCGTCCCAGACTTTTGTGTTTTTGCTCAATTTAGTCCCTCATTTGTTATTCCGTCCATTTGTTGTTAAATAAATAGACAATTCAGTAATTCTAATATTTGCATCTCTTTATTCATAGACATGTGAAGTGCGAAATCTCTCTTTTTTTACGAATTACTCCCAGAATCACTTCTAAAGCTGCGAATATAAAATTTGATTCGTAGGTCTGAGAGTAACTCTGGGTGTAATTCGTGTAAGAAAGAGAGATTTCTCACTTCGCAGGTTGAAAGTAAAGAGAGGTCAATATTGATATTATTGAATTGTCCCTTTATTTAACACCAATTTGACGGAATAACAAACGGAAGACTAAATTGAGCGAAACACAAAAGTCTGGGACTATATTAGGTAACCAAAGTCGTTTAGGACGAAATTGAAAAAAATCACTATAGTCGAGGACAATTTTGGGTATTAACTCATAACTTATTGATTACCAATAAATTAGACTTATTTAACCAATTTTAATGAGTTGAAAGGTTTAATTACACCTTTTAAATGTTCAAAAATCTAATTGCTCTATCATAGTTCAATCGGCTATTTGACCATTTTCCCTTTTGTATTATTATTATTATTATTATTATTATTATTATTATTATTATTAAATAACATTACCTAATATTACATTATTAATCAAAAGCATTAATTAATTAATGTAATAACAATCATCGGTCGTCACATCTTTTTCATGTAAAAATTCTCTGCCATGAGTAAAATATGATAAAGCCGAAGCAGAAGAGCAGAACATATCAACGAGAATTTGTAAAAGTAAATGGTAATAATGTACATCAAGTACATATACAGTACAATTCTTGTCTCAATAACACCAACCAAGATTAAGAAGCCGAATTCCATGTCAGCTCAATTTGAATCTTCCCATTCTTTGAATCAATGAGATGGTACTTCTCGTTGATCCTTTTGTTGCTAACAACATCTGAAAGGTTGATATCAACATACCCCAGTATTTCCTGAATCAAAAAACCAAACATTTCTCATCACACAAATAGTCATAGTAATCTCCCGGATAAGCATGAATTATCACAAGCTTAAGTGCAAAGATATATCCTTGGGATAGGATAGCAATTACAAGTACATCAAAATGTACTAGCTGTGTCAAATAATGAAGCTAAAAGCAAGCAGCTATAATGAATCAGATAGAATTTATTAAGGTTTTTTAAAATCAATCAATATCATATCCAGACCATTTTTAACCCATTCTCTCAGAGGTTGTCTTCATTTGGTCCCATTTTTACCCCACACCATCAAACATATTCATTTCATATATGGTCCTGTCTTATATTCTCCCACATCCACTTACACTATCATCTACATTACAGCTATCTTATAGGCATTTTGCTTTTCTCTGCACAATATTTGCTAATATAGAGCAGAGCCAATTTAATGGACATACAGCAAACACATCTACAAGAATTTATGCCACATGAAATCCCAATCACACTAATATACTTCACTGGTAAGCCCTAATTCTTTGATCAATGGCAGCAGAAATTCAAATGGCCAACTAAATTCATTCTGTCTTCATTGCCTCTAGACTCTAGACTCTAGTGCTGGTGATATTCAAACTGCAATGACTATATTCAGTTTTTGTTATCCTCAATGTTAACCCTTTATTTTCAATAGTATATCTATACAATTCTGATTTTGAGTCAACCCTTCCCAAGGCTTATCAACAAGAATTTTAATTTGCCATAATAATTTTTGAAAAAATACATCAAGGAAGATCATCTAATTGAATACTCTTAGTCAATAAAAACTACAATATTATATTCCTTTACTTCAAAAAGAACATATAACCAACTACCTTAGGATGCAGTAAACCGATCCTCATTGAGGTGCTGACAACTTCTATGTGCAGCTTATCATCCACAGGAGGCTTCTCCAACATGAAAGTGAACTCCTCATCCCATCTTGGATCCCTACTTTTCTTCAGTTGCTGCAAAAGCAAAAGTGGCATATATGTTTGCCTCATAACCATTTAACTATTTAAGCATAATTGACTACAATAATGCCCCAATAGGATGTAACAGAAGGTAGACGAGGAATTTTAGTTTCAGAATACACATACATATATATATTATAGAGGATTAAGAAAGCATTTATGTTGAGCTTCATGGAGTACAGTAGAGTATTTGCCTGACTGTTGGTTGAACATCAGAATACAAATTTTCAGAACAGCAGTCGCAATAACTATTTTGCAAGGCATGGAACAATAAAGGAGATGGAAGGACAAAAATAGGGGGAAGGCAGGCATGTACCTTAGTTTTTTTCTCCTCCCCTTTAAAAATGATACGGACATATGGGTTAGTATGGTGCTTTCCTTCAACATCTTCAGCTTCATGGATTAATACTGCAAGTACACCTCCTCCTGGCGGTGTCCCTTCTGGAGCTTTTTCAATTGTACCAGACTCAACATTGTTTGGCTTGTCCTCCTCCTTGAATGGCTTGTAAGTTAGTTCCATCATGATCTGCCCACGTGATTTATTGTTCTGAATATCATTTGGATCCATATTCTTTAGGAGATCAAGGGTCATAGTTTTTGGATCATCAGGGGTTAGATCCTTGAGTGGGATAACATTCATGCCCATCTTTTCATGTTTCCCAACCTGACAAGAAGAATAAACATATGAGATACATGGAATGAATGAGTGAAATCCATAACCACAAAGTATTAAAATTACCTGCTCCCAATCATAAACATAGATCTCCAGTACTTGAGATTCTGGGTCTTTAACAACCATGCTAAATTCCTCATTCCATTCTGGGTTTAAATTCTTATGTTTCACTGAAGTCTTTTTTGATGGGAGCTTAGACTCTGTGAGTTTAAGTTTCACATAGGGATCAGAAGCCCCAAGTAGATCTTTCTTTCTCAGTTGTGTTGCTCTAAGAATCTTCACGTGAAGAATTCCAACAGGTCTCTTCATGGCTCTGCACATCCCAAAAGTTGATTAACACACTCAATTATTCACAAAACTAAGCCATAAAACTCAGTTGAAAAATACAAAAATCATAAACATACTTTGATGGGTCCAAAATTTGCACTTCCAGAGTTTTAGGCCACAGATACATGTTAGCAACCTGATCTTTAATAATCTCCTGCAGAGGATCCTCTTGCACATTTTAGTACTTATTCATGTAACTATTAAGTGAAAATGTCATAACACACTTTAAAATGTGACACAACTAAGATGTGATATGCATCCAACTTTGTTCAGGAGAAGTGATGGAATATATTTGTTTCGAAAAATAAAAGGGTCAATAAGGAGGGAGAGGAGAATATACCAAAAAAATTGTAAAAAGTTCCAAATAATATCATTATAACTTGGCAACTTCTTCTCAAAAAAATAAAAATAAAAATAACTTGGCAACTTGATAAAAGATGCATAAACTACTTTTCCCTAAGCTGTTAAGTTGCCTACATGCATGAACTCCACAGTACATAAACCATCATTGTGTGCAAGCTGTTTGAGAAAAATGCCCTTTGAGGTGATAGAACAAACAAGTTGACACTTCACTTGAGAGGATGGAGGAAGAGGGAGGGAGAGAATCAAATGTAGAAGGTGCTGTACCTGGACAAACCTGTACAGCCCAGGAATTGACATGAGATCAGCACCTAGAATCTTCAATCCAAAGTCAACATGTGGCTACAAAAGCAAAAACAAGTTCTTAAGAGGATAGTGAAAAAGAAACAACCTCAAAATGTACAACAATCTAAAAAACTGGAGTGTATATATCCAAGATATAATAGTGAAACAAAATTATTTAACAAGTCACAACTGTGCAAGAACATTAAAAATCAAGTTACTCAATTGTCTATTTTCCATTTTTCCATTTTTATTCTGGAAAAAATTTCCATTTCATTATCTATTTTCCATTTTTCCAATTACTAACCAAGCCACTATAGATGGAGGGATTTCTAGTTTCCCTATTTTGTGCCCCTAATTTTATACAAGTACGCCTCAACATTGAAATACGTATGGGATTTGAAATGCATATGCAATTCTTCATACTGTTCAATAAATTCAATTATATTAGATTAGATATGTAGTATCTTTCTCTGATCTTCCATTTCACTCCTAACAGATACCTACAAATATGAACATGATATTTATATTTTCTGGGAACACACTGGGGTGACAAGCTATAATAGACTGAGTTTCACTTGAAATCATAAATCATCTTTATTTCTTGTTCTACACTTCTAGACATTAAGATCAAGCCATACCTTATCCATAAGTGACACGTATATGGTGGCAAAACATGGAAAGCTAGGGACCAAAGGTTTCAGGGTGATGCGTGGTGCTGCAAAGACCTGTAGATCTACAACCTGAAATATCCATTAATAGGTTATATTTTTTTGAATGCATTAATAGGTTATATTTTTTTGAATGCATTAATAGGTTATATGTTTATGAAGATATAGAATAAAATATAAAACATCTAGAAAAACACAAAACCTGAGTAGTTGCTTTCAACCCAAATGCTTTAACAGCAACAGTAACATTAGGATTCCCTGCCCATTTGAATGATGGCTCCATGATTAACTCTTTCTCATCAGTAACATAGACCTTCATACCTGGAAGGGAAGGAGACAATCAAAAGTTAAAGATGGCAGAGAACTTATAGCACAAGAGAAACCTGACTGCCTTTCAAACCCAATTTGTATATTAATTACCAAGATAACAAACATAAGCCAACTGGAAGAGAAGCAATGCAATAAGGGAGAAAACAAAATTTGTGAATGATCAATCATTTAACAACCTTGCAGAGTTGGAGGCAATGACCCCAGAGTCAGTGTTTCAAATTCGACAGAGTCAATCTTATACTTTGGAATTTGCTCTGCAATTATTGGTGTAGCAATGGTCTTTACCATCCTGCAAATGGCCTACCAAAAATGAAAGGGCTGAGAGTGGATAATGTATTCTTTCTAACATGAGAGAATATCAAAACACTGTTAAATACTTGCAATTACCTTGTCCAAATAAGGCCACATGTACTCAAGGAACTTGTTGATCCAGTCAACCTTAAATTAAGGGGGAAAAAGAAATAAGTTTGTAAGGAGTGAAGTTGGAGAGAAGGCAGTGAAATGTAGGTAGGTTACAATACATACTCGATCATAGTCTGGATTTTTAACCCAAAGGGGGATTTCTGGAAGCAACTTTTGCAAAGCTTTAGTGTCTTGCTCAACCAGCGGGCGAATAACAGGATCCTGATTATGTTTGTAACTCATTTATCATTCATCTAATGGGAGAAAATTATGCACTTGACTGAGAGTTAAAAAATTGCAGGCACATGATATATAAACTTCCTTTTGTACATCACAAACTCATAAATATCAATGAAGTGCAGCATAAGATGTTAACAATCACTCAAACCCACTCCTTACAACAAATCATAAATTTCCATTTCCTGTGTTTCTCTTATAGAAAGCTGCAAGTCAGTAAAGAATGACAAATATAATATCAGCATTTTGTCCAATGATTTGTCAGTCATTCACTTCATTATGCGAAGTTGACACCAATAGGAACTTGGGTAGCTATCCTTTTCCGGCCTCCATATCATTTAGTGAAAGGGTCGCATTATACTAGTCATTACTTGAGCTCATTCCCGTAAATATCTGGTTGATTTAATAAACCAACAACATCTGAAAGGTAAAATACCTTATTTCCTAATTCGTAAAATCATCAAGCATACGAATATACGACAAAATTTCTCGATTAGTAAAGTTTTACACCATAGCGGACCTTTAAAAACAGGGAAGCTACGCCCACTAAGAACTCAAAAGTAGCAAGAGGACGACAGAAGATTCAGTACAAAATACAGCTTACCTTCTACCCTTGGGCTTAGCATAGCTAGCTGCTGAAATCATTAGAGAAACTTAGAAAGTACCTTAACATCGCTGGGCTGGAAATAGATGAAGGAAAAGTACCCAATCACAAGCCCAGTCGTGACCCCAACTCCAAATCCACAAAAACCCATGATGGTGCTGAAGAAACCCATCTCTGAACCCTCGAGATTCACTTCACAGCAACCTCAGCTAAACTCACTGGCTCAACTCGTCAAAAACTCAGATCAAACTCGACTAGAAGGTTCTACAGTCCACGTTCCCAGCCCTCCTCGACTCTTCCTCGTACCAGAATCAAGACCAGAAAGAGACAGAAGATTGAATTTATTTGGACGTTGGAAAAAAAAAAAAAAAAATCAACGGAGAGGAAAAGGACGCGACTGTCCCCCGTCGATCTGAGTTTATCTTCTTTTTTTTTTTTTTTTGGGTGCGTAGTTTATCTTCTTTATTAAACACGCGTAGGTCGACGTTATTTTAGTTTTTTAGTGTAGTATATAGCCTTTGCACAGTTGCTCTTATTTTTGCGCAGCTCACCGTCGGACTAGGGAAAGAACTCTGCGTTGCTTTCGGCAGTGAAACATTCCAAAATTACGTTATGCTTGTCTTCGGAATTGGGTCATTCTGATCACAGTTTTATTACACACTTCTTATGTTTTTATTTTAGTTATGTTTATTTTATTTTAAAATCTAAAACATAATAAGTGTGAGGAAGGTTATACATTTTATTTATGTTTATTTTTTCGTTATATTTTTTTTATACATTATGCTATAAAAATTGTATTATATAATATTTTAGACAAACATACATATACTGTTATAATTTCTTTTATCTTTTTTACTATTGTTACCATACACATGCATTCACCATATATTTCCTTATCTTCTCCCCTAATAATAATATATACATATTATATATTAGAGTTATATGTTAGTTGTTTTCTAACATATAAATATTAAATTTATAAAAATGTTTTACATTATTATTATTTACGATAATTTAAATATCTAAAATGTAAATAAATCTAAAATTTTAGTATAAAGTATTAATCTTGTGTACTTATTTTTTTACACATCGAGCATAGAAAATACTAGTTATAGAGATAAACAGTAATATATATATATATATATATATATATATATATATATATATATATATATATATATATATGTGTGTGTGTGTGTGTGTGTGTGTGTGTGTGTGTTTACTTTATCGTATAGTTGTTAGATATAATAATTTCATGTTAAAGAAAATTACATTTTTGGTCCTATGACTATAGGAAGCGTGTTACATACTTGACTTTAAAAACTAACAATTTAGTCTCATAACTATACAATTTTAACACATTTAGTCCACTCTCAGCCAAATCACTGGCGAAATTTGGCTGGAAAAATATAAACTATTTTTAATTATTTAATCATGGGGACAAATTGGTCATTTCAACTCTTCCTTCTCCTCCCTTCTCCTTCGTTCTTCTTCTTCTTCTTTCTTGTAGGGAGTTGCTGCGACAGGCGATTGGATAAAACTACCTGATGAGCTTGTTTTCTCTATTCTTCCACAACTCGTGATTGTGATTAAACAAAACTCTGTTATAACAATGATCCACTTTAAACCTGACAAACAAATAACGTTGTCTTTTAAGTACTCAGTTGTGTAAATGTTTTCTGTAATTTTCAGTAACAACATCCGAACGATTTCACAAGCTTAGATGACATATTAGCAGATCAACATCTTCATTGTTTGCGCTATTTTCACAAAGAACATTATAGACTATAGTGTAAATCGCAAATCTCAATTTCACAAATTTAACGCCGGCACACACATTGGTACTGTCTTCCATGGCTTTCGGCGCAGATGCAACGACGACGATCATGGCATATGCCCTCTAAAACTATATACTTGTATCTAAGTCCAATTTATTTGAAAAAAAAAAACAAAAACAAAACAAAAATAACTTCAAGAACGGCATCGCCAGTTACGCCTTGGAGTCATTCCACCGCTATGGCGCTGCTTGACGCGGGCGATCCCACACCCCACATTGCCGCCCTCCACGCTCTACTCAATCGCGCTTCCGTTGCAACGTGCGTCGGAATGAATGGTACAATTAACCACTCAGTTATGGTATACAACAAAATTGCAATGTAATAAATAACCATTATGGCTACAAAAGAGGAACTTTAGGTATAAACACAAACGAGCAATTAAAACCAAGATGTTCAGGACCTTTAGATGTTTGAAAATAGGTATTGGGTGAATAAGTAAAAGACATAACAAAAAGCGGCTTGAAATATGGGTAGTGCAAGTTTGCATGCTTGGCACAGTAGGGGCCGAGTCCCCATCAGTTTAAATTAACAACTTTGCTCGACACAACTCGGTGGTCGAGCTCCCAAATAAATTGCCCTGCTCATCCCGGGGTGGGGTCTTCTCCTGCGTTCCTTCAGGCTCCCTCGAGAATAGCGTTGTGGGGGCGAGCTAAGTATACAGCGTTGGACCGGGATCGGCGACCTCATCGGGCAAGACGCTAATGATGGTAGCCAAATCGTGGTCGTCCAACGCTTCAGCTAAAGCGTCCCTCACAACAGTCTGCATATTTCATTTTTCACACAGAAACGCCCACTTGCCGTATGCCCAAACCAAACACTCCCTGACCTGAGTACTTAGAAACGCCTTGAAGAAGAGCTTACCGAGAGCCCGATCCCCGAAGATACATGTAGCTAGCAGCCCAAGGGTTGAAATGGCATCATTGAGGAAGGCTGGATAAGCTTTGTAGTCCAAAATAGCTGTGTCGGTTTTGACGGCCTCCATGTCTTTCTAATGTGCCTGTTCAGCACCTGTGGCTCGGCAAAATAAGCTGAAATTGATGGTAACCTGCTATCTGGTGAAATTGCATGGAGTGTTCAGTGACCTAATTGTATTTTTTCTTTTTTTCGTTTCATTGCCTAATTGCATTTTTAGGTTACGTTCAGTGGTCAATTTGAATCTTATTCCTTCATGGAACTAATGTACTTACATGATTAATTTAGGGAGAAAATGTGCTATAAACAAAGGGAAAAAGTGTCATTTTTTTCAATAAAATATTAAAAACAAAGTTAATATGACGATCTCAAAAATACGTTGGCGGTTACAATACAACTACAGGTACAAGTGACACTGTCCATCTATGCGAGCTTGTACTCATTTCCAAATTGAATCGGTGTTGTTCTATCGAGTAAAATAAAATAGAATACAAAATATATAAATATATTCCGTTGCTCGTTTCATCCTCCATTTTCCCTGTTACATTCATCATTTATCTAATTATCAAATCAGTCTCTTCGGCGCACCTCCGCGTTGATCAATCAAAGGCATAATTGCATATTGATTATAATAATCGAGTTTTTAATCGGGATTCTGAATTGATTTATGTTGGGGGTTGAGCTCAATCGGATTTTTATATCGTGGTATTTTAGTAATTAGGGTTTCTGATATTCAGGAAGATGAACAGGATTTTGGAACTAAGAGAGCGTCTGATCGCCGATTAAACGGCGAGGTGATTCCCTGCTTTGAGGGGCTTGGGCTTTTGTATGGAAACTCGGAGCCGGAAGCGGGCGGAGGCCACCTCATCAGCGCCTTCTTCTTCTTCCTCTGGTCCAACCACCCGAGCTGCCAAGCGAGCTCGTTTGAACACCTCCGCACCTACTCCCACTACTGCTACCGCCACTGCCTCTAATTCCGCGTCGATCGCTACTCGTTCCCGAGTGCCCACTCGTTCTCGTGCTGCCAACCGTTCCCAGGACTCAATTGCAGCTTCCGCACCGATGGACTCCACCAATGAATCCTCTGGGTCTGCCACCCGCAGTCGCCGCGGTAGGAACCCTACTCATACTTCCGATAAGGACAGTTCGGATAAAGGCAAACAGAAAGAACACGAGGTTAGGAGTAGGGGAAGGGATAGAGATGCTGAAAGGAACATTGGGTTGAATCTAGAATCTGGGGGAGGTGACGATGATGAAAATGACAGTGAAGGAGGTGTTGGAATTTTGCAGCATAATTTAACTTCTGCAAACAGTGCACTTCAGGGTCTGCTCATGAAACTGGGTGCTGGGTTGGATGAGTTGCTTCCAAGCGCAGCAATGGGTTCAGGGTCTTCCTCGCATCAAAATGGTCGGCTCAAGAAGATATTGTCCGGGCTTAGGGCGGATGGCGAGGAAGGAAAGCAAGTAGAGGCTTTGACACAGCTTTGTGATATGCTTTCCATAGGGACTGAGGATTCACTCAGCACTTTCTCAGTGGATTCGTTTGTTCCAGTGTTGGTCGGTTTACTTAATCACGAGAGTAATCCAGATATCATGCTTCTTGCTGCCAGGGCATTGACCCATCTGGTTGATGTTCTACCATCTTCATGTGCGGCAGTTGTACATTATGGTGCAGTTTCATGCTTTGTTGCTCGGCTGCTCACAATTGAATACATGGACTTGGCTGAACAGGTGAGCTAGTTAAGAAGCTGGTGTGGAAGGCGTTTCACTGCCTTCTGTAACAGATTAACAGCATATTTGAATACAACCTGTATGCTTATTATTGCCAATATTTGGCTTCCAAAGAGAGTGTACTAATTGCTCTCTTTCTTTTCTTTCATTTTGAAAAAAGTCTTTACAAGCTCTAAAGAAGATATCTCAGGAGCACCCTACAGCTTGTTTGAGAGCTGGTGCACTTATGGCTGTGCTCTCATACCTTGATTTCTTCTCTACTGGAGTTCAGGTGATATTGAGTTACCAGAAACTATGTTGTACATGATGACCTTTTCTGAAGGTCCTTACTCCTTAGATTGATGCCAACAACATATACTATCTTCATTAATTTCCATTAAGTCTAAAAAACTATTCATAACTCAATCTTCTGGCAGAGAGTAGCATTATCTACTGCTGCAAATATGTGCAAGAAACTCCCATCAGATGCAGCTGATTTTGTTATGGAAGCTGTTCCATTGTTAACAAACCTCCTTCAGTATCATGACGCCAAGGCAAGTCTATTATGCAAAAGATCCACATAATGAAAAAATACACTGATTTTGTTCATCAAGTTGATTCCTATCTGATTTTTACTTTTTTACATTTTCTTTTGCTTGCAATTTGTATAGGTTCTAGAACATGCTTCCATCTGCTTGACTCGAATTGCTGAGGCATTTGGATCTTCTCCTGAGAAGTTGGATGTACTGTGTAATCATGGACTTCTTACACAAACTGCTTCTCTTATCTCTGCTAGTAATTCTGGCGGTGGTCAGGCTTCCCTTAGCACTTCAACATACACAGTATGCACAGTTTTTTTTTTTAATAAATAAATTTAAAGTAACTATTTCTGCATTTTAGGGCTGTATTCTTATTTACTTTTTATTTTTTTAGTTTTATTTATTGACTTGATGAGGTTTGTAGGGCTTGATTCGGCTTCTATCAACATGTGCACGTGGCTCTCCTCTGGGAACAAAAACTTTGCTTCTCCTTGGAATCACTGGCATTCTTAAAGAAATTCTTTCTGGATATGGTCTTCTCAGCAATGTATCTGTTTCATCTGCTTTTAATAGACCACCGGAGCAGGTATAAGACACCTTTATATAGTTTATAAATTGCACCATATTATACTCCAAAGGTGTGCATTAAGTCAGATTGTCTTCTGATATTATCTGAGAAATGTGAACCAAAGAAGCTGCTGAAAATTTTGATGCAGCATATTTCAGTACATAATCATCAAGTATTCATTACTACAAATGCTTTTGAAAATTTATAGCCATCTGGAGAACTTGATAAGTTGATAGTTGTTTTTACTGTTTATGTATGCAATTTAGTGTTTCACACTAGATATCTTCCCTTCACTACTACCTGAATGGGAATTTGGGGATGTAAGACTGACTACTTACTAAAAGAACAATTAAAAATAGAATTGGGGATGTAACACTAAATTTATAGGATTATTTTCTCATAGTTGCTCAAAGTTTGAATTTAATTACTTGTCTTCAGAATTGGTTGTTCAGAATGAAGTGGACTACTTTCTTCATGACAAGTTGCAAAAAGCCAAAAATCTGGTGTACTATAATTTGGTTCGATGTCACACCCTAACCCATCTTTTTGCTTTATAGAAGTGCTAGGGAAAAAACCTTGCAAGTTGTATCATTGGGTGGATCAGTGGTTTTATTCTTACTAGTTAGAAAAATTTACCTTTCCCCCCCCATATTTTTCATACGTCCAAGATTTTCACCCTTACTGGATTTCCTTTCAATGTCCAGATTTTTGAAATTGTGAACCTGGCTAATGAACTTCTCCCCTCATTACCCGATGGAACAATCTCTCTTCCAGTCAGCACTAATGTGTTTGTCAAGGGATCTTTAAATAAGAAATCTATCGGTGGTGAGTCTAGCAAACAGGAGGACGCAAATGCAACTTCTCAGGAGGTTTCATCCCGTGAGAAACTGTTAAAAGAGCAGCCTGAGCTTCTGCAGCAATTTGGAATCGACCTCCTTCCTGTTCTAATCCAGGTTAGTGTTTATTGAAATATAGAAATCCTAGGGATTTAACACCTAGGGCTATGCTAAGGTATGACCTAAGGTTTCTATATTTTAACAGTATTTCATTTGACCAAACTGAAGTCCATAGTTTAATAAAATAGAACAAATAGACATTCATTTACTTGTTCTTTTTGGTTACATGATTTGCTTGCGGTTTGCTGTCAGATATATGGGTCTAGTGTGAATGGTCTTGTTCGGCACAAGTGTCTCTCAGTTATTGGGAAACTTATGTACTTCAGCACTGCTGATATGATTCAGTCCTTGAATAGCATCACTAGCATATCAAGGTATGAATTCTCGATTGATGTCTCTTTGCATGATATATCTACTCAACACTCCATTTTTAAATGCTTCTATATCTCATAATTATGTTGCTACTTCCCTAGTTTTTTGGCTGGTGTTTTAGCCTGGAAAGATCCTCAAGTATTGGTTCCTGCCCTTCAAATTGCTGAAATCTTAATGGAAAAGCTCCCCGGTACTTTTGCCAAAATGTTTGTTCGAGAGGGTGTTATTCATGCTGTAGATGCACTAGTAATAGCTTCTTCTGGCACTGCTTCTCAGCCATCATCCTCTGAGAAGGATAATGATTGTATACCTGCTTCATCATCTCGTTCCAGGCGTTATCGACGTCGAGGCTGTAATTCAAATACAGATACATTCTCCACTGAAGATCCTAAAAGTTCAGTTCCAAACATTGGCTCACCCCCAAATCCTAGGGAAGTTCCTACTGCCAGTTCTAGTCTTCGCATGGCAGTCAGTGCTCGTGCAAAAGCTTTCAAAGAAAAGTATTTCCCTTCAGATCCCGAGTCTACTGAAGCTGGTGTTACAGACGATCTTCTTTGCCTGAAGAATCTTTGTGCTATGCTGAATGCCACTCTTGATGGGCAAGTGATTAAAACCAAGGGAAAATCAAAAGCTTCTGGCCCTCGACTTGGTGAAATTTCCGCTGGTAAAGAGGAAAGTTTAATTGGTCTGATAACTGAGATGCTGGGGGAGCTTAGCAAGGGAGATGGTGTTTCCACCTTTGAGTTTATTGGAAGTGGTGTTGTGGAGTCGTTGCTGAAGTATTTTTCATGTGGATACTTCTCTAAGGAAAGAATTTCAGATCCTCATCTTTCTAGGCTTCGACAACAAGCAATCAAAAGATACAAGTCTTTTATTGCTGTTGCCCTTCCTGTTGGTGTTGATGAAGGGAATTTGGCTCCTATGAGTGTTTTGGTTCAAAAGCTTCAAAATGCTCTCTCTTCCTTGGAGCGGTTCCCTGTTGCACGCCTTTCTTCTGGCTTAAGTGCTTTATCTCAACCTTTCAGGCTGCGTCTTTGTAGAGCACAAGGTGAAAAGTCCCTTCGTGATTATTCGTCAAACATTGTATTGATTGATCCACTTGCAACTTTAGCTGCCATAGAAGACTTCCTCTGGCCCCATGTTCACAGAACGGAATCTGAACAAAAGACCTCTGCATCAGTTGGCAATTCTGAGACAAGTACCATGCCTACTGGAGCTGGTGCACCATCTCCATCTACTTCAACTCCTGCTTCTCGTCGCCATTCTACGCGATCAAGGTCTGTTGTGAATATAACAGATGCTGCAAAGGGATCATCACAAGAAAAAAATGCAAGCTCATTAAAAGGAAAGGGTAAGGCTGTTCTGAAATCAGCTCAAGAAGAGGGAAGAGGACCACAAACAAGATATGCTTCTCATAGAAGAGCTGCTTTGGATAAAGAATCAGAAGTTAATCCTGTGGATGGGAACTCCACTTCTGAGGTACTTTCACTTATTGAGTGTGATATTAATTCCTGTTTATTTCTCCAGTTGACGATTTCCGTATGCTTCTCATTTCTTTTTTGCTGGTCAAACTTTGTATTGAAAATTTTCTTTATAGTTTATATGTTTGTTTTCCTTACTGCGCCCTTGGTTTTGCCTTTACCTCTGTTGCAAAGCCACTTTGATCTTGTTTTTATCTTTTTTTGGAATCATAAAACTATAATGCAATAAGATAAAAAGAAAAATTCTTTGAGTCAGGTCTCCATTTAAGATTGGTTATACTGATTTGGATGGTATAGTCATATACTGTCAGACTGAACATGTTATTTGATATTGAAATCCTATTAATAATTATTCATTTATTTGTTCTAGCTGTAGTTGACATCAGGTGTATAATTTATGACACACTTGCTGTGTTCTTGAACTTATTAATGTTGCTCTGCTATTTTGTGTTTACTTATCTTCAGATTTCTGAATTTACTAATGCCATTGATTTTCTTGTCCTTCTTGATGCATGCTAGTGTGTTTTAACAGGTGAATGAGGCCATTCTTATTTTTTATGAACCCTGACAGATTGGGCAATTTTTATTGTTCTTTTTTTCCTTTATGCAGGATGAGGACATTCCTCCTGTTGAAGTTGACAGTCCTTTGGTGATTGAAGATGATGATATCTCTGATGATGAAGATGAAGATGAAGATGACCATGACGATGTATGCTTTTTCTATTATTGGCTTATTGCTTTTCTGTTCTTACAATTTTTTATGGGGCCTGTTTATCATGATGTTGCTTTATCTCCATACACAGGAGCTCAAAATTTAACAAATTGGTGTTTTTAAGTAAACATCTTCAAGTTACAAAGTAAAGATTGTTTACCTAAAAAATTATACTACACACAAAAGTAAAGAGCTTCTAAATGGATTTGTTCTTTAAAAGAATGACAGTGAAATATGGAATAATTGAGAGAATACCGAAATGTCTGGTTATTTCATGTCTGAGGGTTATGCTATAAACTTGCATATAGTTCATTAGTTGAATGCACCATATCATGGAGTGGATGATGGGTGTCCTCAGATACTGGAGATGAGAGGAAAACTTTTCCTTTTCTGGTCATTGTGCGTTTTGTTTGGTCAAAAACTTTTCCTTTCTGTAAGACATTTAAGGAGTATGGCTTCTGACCATCACCCTATGACCCACCCCTGTAGACAAAGGAAGAGATGTTTAGACATTGCTGTTGTCTTTGTGTCGTTTGCCATCTTCTCTTAATCAACATAAAGCTTTAGTCAGTTGCTGGTACTGTATGCGGTGGTGATTAAAAATGTTTTCATCCTTATTTTAATATTGCAGGTTTTGAGGGATGATTCACTTCCTCTTTGCATGCCTGATAAAGTGCATGATGTGAAACTGGGTGACTCTGACGCCAGTCCTGTTGCCAATGCACCAAGTGATAGCCAGACAAATGCTGGTGGTGGTTCTTGCAGCATAGCTGCTTCCCTTCGAGGACCTGATTCTTCTGAGTTTAGGAGTGGAAGTTCTTATGGTTCTAGGGGTGCAATGTCATTTGCTGCAGCTGCAATGGCAGGACTAACGTCCAGAGGTGTGAGGGGAGGAAAGGACCGGCAAGGACGTTCTCTCTTTACTTCTAATGATTCTGGAAGATTAATATTTTCCACGGGTGGGAAGCAGCTAAATAAGCATTTGACTATTTACCAGGCCATTCAACGGCAACTTGTCCTAGATGAAGATGATGATGAGAGATATGGGGAAGGTGATTTTGTATTGAGTGATGGAAGCAGAATTTGGAGCAACATTTACACCATCACATACCAAAGGGCAGGCAGCCAAGCTGAGAGGGGTGTGAATGGTGCTGGTACATCAACTTCCTCCAAGTCTACAAAAGCTAGTTCTTCAGCGGATTTAAGTGAAGATTCCTTACCGCATCAAGTATCACTATTAGATAGTATTTTGCAGGGAGATCTTCCTTGTGATCTTGATAAAAGTAACCCTACATATAACATTTTATCACTTCTACGGGTACTGGAGGGTTTGAATCAGCTTGCACCGCGTATGCGGGTCCAGTCAGTGATTGACAGTTTCTCTGAAGGAAAAATATGTAGTCTAGATGAACTAAATGTCAGTGGTGCCAAAATTCCTTCAGATAAGTTTGTCAATAGTAAGCTCACTCCAAAGTTGGCTCGGCATATCCAGGATGCACTCGCACTCTGCAGTGGATCTCTTCCATCATGGTGTTACCTTTTAACAAAGGCTTGTCCCTTTCTGTTCCCATTTGAGACTAGGCGTCAGTACTTTTATTCAACTGCTTTTGGGTTGTCTCGAGCATTATATCGGCTTCAGCAGCAGCAAGGTGCTGAGGGTACTGGATTGACAAATGAGAGAGAGGTAAGGCTTGGGAGGCTACAGCGGCAGAAAGTCCGGGTCTCCAGGAATCGCATATTGGATTCTGCTGCAAAAGTAATGGAGATGTACTCTACCCAAAAAGCTGTTCTTGAAGTTGAATATTTTGGCGAAGTTGGAACAGGATTGGGTCCTACTCTAGAGTTTTATACCCTTCTAAGTCATGACCTACAGAAAGCAGGACTAGGAATGTGGAGAACAAGCTTACATCCCAATAAACATGCAGCAGAAATGGATGTTGATGAGCGAGTAAATGGAAAAGTTGGTGATACCTCTGGCTCGAACTCGGATGGTGGTGATAAAGATCTTATCTTAGCACCTCTTGGGTTATTCCCACGTCCTTGGCCTCCAAGTGCAGAAAATATTGAGGATGGGAAATTCTCTAAGGTAATAGAATATTTCCGGCTACTAGGACGTGTGTTGGCGAAAGCCCTTCAAGATGGGCGGCTTTTGGACCTTCCACTGTCTACTGCCTTCTATAAGCTTGTACTTGGTCAGGTAAGTTCTTAGCATTTACGGTTTTAATCCACTTGCACATGTATATACACCTACTCCATATTAGTTATTGCGATCACTGATAAATCAATCAACTTTCTGTGCAGGAACTTGATCTGTATGATATTCTTTCTTTTGATGCTGAACTGGGTAAAACTATGCAAGAGTTGCAAGCTCTTGTATGTCGGAAGCAATATCTAGAATCAACTGGAGGTGATAACAGAGACAAAAGTCACAAAACCACTGATTTATACTTTCATGGGACTCCAGTTGAAGACCTTTGCTTAGATTTCACTCTCCCAGGCTATCCTGAATATATTCTGAAACCTGGGGATGAAAATGTATATTTCGTTCAATTTTCCCTTAAATATTTTTGGTGTACCCATTTATTGTGTTACTCTCATTCACATATGCAATCTGTGCAGGTTGATCTTAATAATTTGGAGGAGTACATATCTCTAGTGGTTGATGCAACAGTCAAGACTGGAATTGTGCAACAAATGGAAGCGTTTAGATCTGGCTTCAATCAGGTTTGTGATGCCATTTTATCTTATGTGGTCTTGTAGTTGTGTAAGAATTTTCATTGTTGTTTAAAGCTCTGCTGATTGGTCAATGTAGTTTCAGTTCCCTATCATTCATAATATGCAGCACCTGAACAAGTAGATTTTTTTCTTTGCCTTGGATTTAGGTGACATTGTGCTAGACTACAACTAATTCTTACATGGAACTTCACTCTTTTTTCTTTTTTATTTGATACCACTGTGACACTGTTGTCTAGTGGTCTTCATAATGACTAGTGGAAGATGTTTAAATAGGCTGGTAGGGGAAAAGTCATCCTTTGAAAGGACTGATGTGTGGCTTTTAATAGTGGTATCGATTCTGTGTTCTCTATTGATCAGGTATTTGATATTTCAACCCTACAAATATTTTCTCCAAATGAGTTGGACCATTTGCTTTGTGGCCGTCGAGAGTTGTGGAAGGTAGTACCTCCTTCATATTGACTCTCATATCACTTAGAACTGACCTATCTTGCATTAGTATAATTAATTGAGTGATTTCTTTATATGTGCAGGCTGAGACACTGGTGGATCACATCAAGTTTGACCATGGTTACACTGCTAAGAGCCCTGCCATTATAAATGTACATTATTATTCTTGACTCTTGAAAAAAAAAAAGATTTTTTTTGGAGCAATAAAAAATAGCAAACTCCTGCTACCTACCCTCCAGGGGTTTTGATTAGCTTTCATGCACATCCTTATCTTTTTGAAACTGATTGATTGATGTCTCTTTAGTTGCTGGAGATCATGGGTGAATTCACTCCTGAACAGCAAAGGTCTTTCTGTCAATTTGTTACTGGTGCTCCTCGGCTTCCTCCCGGTGGCCTGGCAGCGTTGAATCCCAAGTTGACAATTGTGAGGAAGGTATAAATGCATTTTCTGGATACACCTGCACATTGATTATTTGGTGTTGTGGTTTTTACATTTACCCACTTTGTGTTTGCAGCATTCTTCAAACACTGGAAATGTGGGGCAAAATGGTAACGGGGCATCAGAGTCTGCAGATGATGACCTGCCTAGTGTAATGACTTGTGCTAATTACCTGAAACTTCCTCCATACTCCACCAAGGTATTACTTGAATGATAGATGATATATGGGCATGGTTGGCAAAGTTTAAGGTTACCAATTATGATTATAGTCTATGAATGATTAAATCCAAAGTTATCTATGGATTGTTGGGTTTATACTAAAATGCATAATTTAGAATTTAGAATGAATGATAATGATAGGCAAACACAAACACATGGAAATTAGATTATTTAATTCGTAATGTCTGTAATGTGATGAACCATCATGTTTATGTGGTGTCTCCTAATCCTGGTAAATTGAGCTTCTTTTCTTGTTGTTTTTATAGGAAATGATGTACAAGAAGTTGGTGTACGCAATCAATGAAGGTCAAGGATCCTTTGATTTATCGTAGTTGGAGTTGTGTTTAACAGTTAAGAAGTTTGATTGAAATTATTGGTGAAGAAGGGGAAGGGGTTCTGACCATTAATTATCTATCTATCTCAGCAACATCTAAGGTTAGTATGTATGGAGAGTTGGGAAACCTGTGATGTTATAACGTAAAACACAACTCCTCCTTACCTTACATTTTGTAATATCATTGTGATTCTAACCCAAATCTTCTTAAATTCAGCTCAAGATGGGGAGTCGTTGGAGGATGCAACTTTTTTTAATCCTAGTGTGGCCGCCTCATTTCTGCTGCAAATTCTTGTAAATACGTAGAGAATCATTCTTTTAATTGTTATTATTATTATTATTATTATTATTATTATTATTAAATTCTAACTAATTTAGATGAAAGCTAGGATGGATATGTACATTTTATGGGCATGTGGTTGCCATCATTCTCCGCTTAACACTACTGTTATTATGTTACGTTTATGCTTAGTAATAATAATAATAATAACAATAAGAGCAAATTTTACTTTTAGTCTTCGACTATTGTGATATTGTCATATTTAGTCTTATTCTTTTAAATTTTGTCATATTACATCCATGATTTTGAGCAACTTTCACTTTTAGCTTTGATTATTGTGGCATTGTTACATTTAGTCTTATTCTTTTAATTTTGTCATAATTATATCACGACTTTCATTTGATTGCAACCATTAGTCTTTCATTTATTTACCGTTATAATTGACATAACACAAAAGAAAATATTTTACACATCATAACTCATATTTTGAACACATTAAAAATATTGTAAATATTAAAGAATGTAATATCGTGAATATATACAAGTTTGTAATTATGTGCAAATTGACTTTAACGTGCGATACAATTATTTCAGAAGTTTGAGCTGTAACAATACAATTATATAGTAGTTGCGGTGGGAGTCACAATACAATTATTTCAGAAGTTCATATGTTAAGGTTAATTTTTACTTGATTTATGTAATAATTGCGGTGCAATTCTTTAAGAAGTTCACAGGTTAAGGTTGATTCTTACTTGATTATGAGAATATATATATATATATATATATATATATATATATATTCACTGACTTTTTTAAAAGGGAAGATTTTTTCATATTTTATAATCTGAAACACATGGTATTGATCGTCAGTCGGTGATTGGGGGTGGGGGGTGTGGTGGTGGAATTTGGAAAATGACGTTCCACCAAACAAAAGCACCCATCCACCTAGCTCTCTCCATTACTTATTATTTTGCGGACAATATAATGCAGAAAAGGAATACAGATACTTCATGTTAAAATGGCCGGAGTACGTTCTGATGCAAATTAATTTTGTATATTCGCTTGCAATTTTAGTGATGTAAAAACAATTTTATCAGATAAAAAATGATAGTATAATATTTATAAAGTAATATAATGTATAATTGTATCATTATATAAATACAAATAAAAATATTAATATTATAATAAACTAAATCATTTCTAATAATGTAAAAACACAATTAAAATATTGAGTTTTGTTCTAAATAATTAAAAAAGATATTAATTAAATGAAAAAAGGAAAAAAAAATCTATATTTATTTTTAAAAAATGCAAGAAAATTATTTTCAGTATTCTTTATTTGTAATATTTGATGTTTGATAGGATTATTCTTAGAGTATAATCCCTCTAGGTAGTGTACACATGCTCGGTATTTGGTCGGGCCACCGAGGGAGATTGTTCCTGACCTTGACTGACCAAGGCTCGATATCTTGCCGAACTCAATGCGGTAACCGAGCTAACTGGAGACTGCGACAACATTTTGCTGCTCCGCGATCGACCTCGATCATCAGTTCCGGTCGGGAAGATATCTTGAGCTGGGTTACTTAAGTGTTTAGACCTAGATTTCGAGCTTTATTCCAACCCCTCTTAGTGGGCGGTCATGAATCTAAATACACGTGGCCTACAAGGCACCATTCCCGAACTTACATGCACGACACGTGACAGACATACCGAGAGCCTGATATGTGTCCCTTTGCATTCCCTATAAATACCGCATTATATATGCATTTTATCAATCCCAACCTTTGAATTCATTTTACCTCTGCACTGATGTATACGTTTATTATTATAATAATAATAATAATAATAATAATAATAATTATTATTTTTAAATTTTAAGTATACTTAGGATTTTCACAATCGGACACGGTGACTAATCCTTAGCTAACAAGTTTACTAATCTACGCATCAACTTTTTTGAAAGTCAAATATATTTTTATCTCTTTAATTTGTTATTAGCTTTTAGATTTTCCTACCACTATCTCTTTCATTTTTCGTTTTCCTTTCAAAGTAAAACCAAACTAATTAACTACCGTCACCCACTGCAACAACAATAGTAGCTGGGGGCCTGTGGATACCTATACAATTATTAATGTCATTTTGTTGCATGTAATTACAATCTTCAAAATCTTATGTTCTGCCTCCTTTAATTTGACAAAAGTAAAATTATTTTTGTTTTGAAATTTTTTTTTTTTTTTTTTAAATATTTAAACTCATAAATTTAATTCTAATTCAAATACTAGCTTTCAAGATTATACATACAATTAAATAAAATCTTAAAATTTTTGAGGTATATATTATTGAGAAGAATCCCTCTAGACAAAAAAGTCAGCATTAACCCCTTTCACGTACTCCCACTTGTTAACTATGGTGAAGAGTTAGGGTAGGCCGGCTTTAGATGGTGGCTGGGTGCAAGGGGTAATAAATTTAATTTATTACCCTACAATCTACATGAAAGGTAGATAGGACCACAGTCGCCTTTCGTGACCCCAAGATTGCCTAAGATCGGAGTAGGAGTGTAGGACGTACCAAATGTTAGTTGACCACAATTCTATTCTTATTAAAATAAAAAAATAAAATAAAAAAACCTCTACTAATTTCAAAATAAATTAATACTGAGTAATAATAATGAAGTAAAAAACCCTCTATGAATTTGTCTGTCATACATTCCAACAAATTTCCCTGCCTGGTTATTGTAAATCGATCAGATAGATTGTCCCGTTAGTTGTCGGGTGGCTTGTCGGCGTTATCGTAACGAACCGTAAACTTGCAATAGGCGGTAGAGAGTTAGAAGGCGGAGTTGTGGGTAACCGGATGGGTATCTGATCTCTGTGAATTGTTGCCTGTTTTACTAACAAAATGCAAAGTATAATGATCTCCCCAGTTACAGGACAGCTTACTCCATGGAGCCATGCAGCATGCATGTAACATGTTAATTACGATTTTTTTTTTTTTTAGTTTAATATAAATAAATAAATAAAACAAAGTAGAAATAATTTTTAAAAAAGTAGTTGCAAAAAGTGTATAATTAAAACGCCTTTTCCGGAAATTCACGTACTCTTAATTAGCTCACCGACGGTACCTTGCCCTCTGTTTCTGACCATTATTGATTGTCCTTGTTTTGGAGCTAGCGTGATCCTCATCCTGCCAATTCTATTCAAAACTTTCCTTCTTTTTCTTTTAATTAAAAATTGAATAAAGGAGAAGGTGAAGTAATCTTTTTCGTCATCAGATCACCAACTGGCCTGCCTTTGGAATACTATATTATAATAATCTGGATCTCTCAAGTGTTAGTTGAAGCAGGTTTGTAAATAGTACGTATATAATTGTGATATTAATTGGCGGCATTTTATTTTAATTTTAAAAGTTGATGGGTTGGGTTCAAAATTTAGGTAGGGCTGTGTTGTCTCTTTATGTTTATTGTTTTTCGGGGATTCAAACATCTTTTTTGCAGATGCCATATATTTCCCTGTCTGTCTGTCTGTACACTTTGGCTTAGCTTGATGGGTGTCCCAGGCAGGTTTTACTTTTTTTTTTTTATTTTATTTTATTGTAGACGTGGTTGGAAATTGAAAGAAGAGAAGCTTCAATTCCTTTTGTTAATTGATTGAGCTAGGAATCAAATTAAAGATTTGGATTTTTGTAATTGGAGGAATTATATTGTTAATATAATAATGCATGCGTCGGATCGGCAGTCAAGTCAGATAGGTGACATTAATGATATATTGTATTGGTGTTTTGGTTGATTATTAGATGAAGGTGGCGGGTTGAATCCTATTCCTGGGTCAGTGTCCTCCTGCGGAGCACTGCGCCATATGTTGTTCTTTAAACAGGAGCCTCCGACAACGTTACGTTGAACACATGCTTCCATAGCTCGATCAGTACGTACCTGTTTCAATTCTGGTGAATATATGGTGATGATTAAGGGATCGGAAGAACTGAAGACATGTTTTGACGGGAGGCCGCCGGGGTGATATATATAATTATAATTATATTATATTAAAGGGAATCAATATATATATATATAGAGAGAGAGAGAGAGAGAGTGTTGAGATGGGGGGTAAGGATGATTCAGGCGCAGAAGAGAAAAGGAGGAATGTGTTGGTTGGAATCCGTTTTGATGGGCATACTAAAGAGTTGCTAGACTGGGCATTGGTGAAGGTTGCAGATCCGGGCGATAGGGTGCTCGCTATTCACGTTTCTACAAAATCCTCCTCAGCCTCAGGTATATTTATTTGGATCACTACTAGCTAGCTAGCTAGCTTGTAATTTGTAAATGGCTTTCTTGATCGAATACGGAATACTACAGTCTACAGCAGCTCACATATATACATGCATTTGTGTTGTGATGTGATATTAGACGGCCCTAATACTAAAGATGAATCATACTCCTCCTGGTTGGAAAGTTATCTGGATGATTACGATGGCTTATGTACTAAAAACCAGGTTTGCTTTGCTTTTTCTTTTCAAACTCTCTAGCTCCATCTACCTGTTAGTTACTATATATATATATATATATTGTTCTCCATCTGCAGGTTCATCTTAAAGCACAGGTTTTGAAAGGAAGTTCAACAAGAAAGATGCTGGTGAGGGAAGCAAAGAAGCATGATGCGGTAGCTGTAATAGTGGGGACAAGCAACCATAAAAGACCTCTTATTGGTCGTCTTGGGTAACTAAGCATCTATTCATTTCAATTCTTCATTAATTCTACCTCTCCTCTCCTTACCTACCTACCTCTCTTATCTTATCTTAGGGGATGGACTTCCATTGCTAAATACTGCGCAAAACAACTCCCCACCTCCGTTGATGTTATGGCTATTCACAATGGGAGGATTGTATTCAGAAGAGGATCCAATTCTCAATACACAGCTGCTGCTGGAGATCCCAGACCAAGTTTCTATACAGAAAGAAGTTCCACTGTGGGGGATAGCCACTCTGAATTTGGGGAATCAGATATGGGAAGGCTCAGCCATGAGACAGAGTGTTATGAGAATTATTCACAGGATTATGAAAGCTTGTCTAGTACTAGTCCCAAGGGAACACACAAGAAAGGTTGCCTTTCTTTGGCTTCAATTTCTCTTCCTGTTGTTCAGCTTGCTGATACGCCCCCCGGATGGCCCCTACTTCGCTATGAACCACCTGTGCCTGTGCCTGTGCATGCCAGAAAGATGTCTGTGGTACAGTGGGTCATGACCTTACCAAACCGATCTTTGATAGACTTGGAAGGTTCGAGCCCAAAGAGTTCAGAAGAAGAAAATTGCAGCTTTTCAGATAAAAATGAAAGCTGCAGTGAGCTTATTAATGAGTTTAAGCTTCTGATTGAGACAAATTCCCCAGCCTGCAAATGGTTCAGCTATTCTGTTCTCACAACATCCACTTCTCAATTCTCTTCAGGTTTGGTTTGTAAATTCTGTCTGCCATCTCTCATTTCCATCTTTAATTTTGAAAACCAAAACCGGTGCATGTGCAGAAAACTTAATTGGGAAAGGAGGGTGTAACCAAGTATACAAGGGAGTCCTTCCTGATGGCAAACAAGTTGCAGTCAAGATTTTGAAGTCGTCGGAAAAAGCTTGGAAGGATTTCATGCAGGAAGTTGATATCATGACTTCAGTGAAACATAAAAACATTGCACCTTTGCTTGGGATTTGTATTGAAGACACTAGTGATTTAGTATCGGTCTACAACTTTTTATCCCAGGGGAATTTGGAAGAAAATTTGCATGGTAAGGTTTGTTGTTTAACACTAGAAGAAGATGAGTGAGTTTTCTTCTTCTTCTTCTTATAATATAATTATTAAATCCTCCAGGGAAGGGAAAGGGAAAATCTCCATTGGCTTGGAAAGTAAGGTTGAGAATAGCTACAGGGATTGCTGAAGCCCTGAATTACCTGCACAATGAACACCCTCGGCCTATCATTCATAGAGATGTCAAATCCTCGAATATTCTCCTTGGAGATGAGTTTGAAGCAAAGGTACGTATGCTAGCTAGCTACTTTACTTGGTCACGCTATATATATATATATATATATATATATATACGTGGTAGTTATCCTTAAAGTGTAATATATATATAATGCAGTTATCTGATTTGGGATTAGCTATATGGGGACCCACAAGGACATCCTTTGCAACTCACAGTGATGTGGTGGGAACCTTTGGTTATCTAGCTCCAGAGTATTTTATGTATGGAAAAGTGAGTGACAAGATTGATGTGTACTCCTTTGGCGTCGTTCTACTGGAACTGTTATCAGGGAGAAGAGCTATTGGATTTGAGAGTGCAAGGGGGGGTCAAGAAAGCTTGGTTATGTGGGTATGTAACAACTAATTAACAACTACTCAACTCCATCCATCCATTACAGATTTACAGTACGTGTGTTTAATTCATTTTTATGATATGATATATTGATATGGATGACAGGCAAAACCGAAATTAGAGAGTGGAGACCTCAAAGGCATAATAGATGAAAATTTGAATGTAAATGGAGATGAGGCTGAGGTGCAGAGAGTGGGTCTTGCAGCAAGACTGTGTCTTACACAAGCAGCTCGGTTTCGTCCTAACATAGCCCAGGTATGTATGTATGTATGAATGTAAAAGAATTGAAGATTTCATTTTGGAAATTGAATCGAGCTCGGTATGTATGTATGTATGTATGTATGTATGTATTTAGATACTGAAGATGTTACGGGGCGAGAAAGATAGCAGCAAGGGAGAAGAAGAAAATGAAAATGAAGATGAAAAGGTGGAGATGGATGATGAAGTGTATCCAGATTCAAGCGTAGAGTCACACTTAAGTCTTGCCTTAATGGACAGCGACGCCAATCATTACTCCTCCGCATCCTTCAGCAGCAGCAGCCCTTACTCTGTAGAAGAATACTTGAAGAAAAGATGGAGCAGATCTTCAAGCTTGGAATGATTCATCGATTAGCTTTCATTTCATTTCTTTTCTTTTCTGTGCCTCTAATTAATTTCTCAGATTCATTGTTTGATTGTACAGCAGTAGTAGTAGTAATAATGTACGGAGTAGTATAGTTGCATTATATGTGACACCCAGTCATGAATGAGGTGAGGTGAGGTGATGATGGATTTAAGTTTAGATGTAGACAGACAGCTTCAGTTTTTGTGTTATGGAGCTTGAGTTATATGTTTGACAAAATAAATAGTAAATGGATATAAATGTTTTCTCGTCCTATTTTCATAACTTTTTATTTATTTTTTAATACTTCAGATGTGTTTTTTACTCTTTTTTTTTTTTTTTTTTCAAGTGTTCCATAAAACGTAAGGAATTAAGTAAAATAAAAATTAGTTAAAATGGAATATCTTGTGATTTAATATAAAATAAGAAACTAAAATGAAAGGAAATATTGATTAATTAAATCAAATACAAATATAAGAAGTTCAGGTCTTGTCCAATGGCATAGTTTTGGTTTCAGTAAATTAAAAAGAATGTATGAAATATTTATGGACAGATACTTTATTGTAATAGAGTTAATATAGTTTAATAAAATACAAATATAAGAAGATTGAAGTATAAATATAGATGGGAGTATGATTCATTCATATTTATTTCCTGATCCGTCCTAGTTTGGTTAATGCTTAATGCTTAATGGTGATTTAGGAAAAGATTACCTTTTTTGTACTGTATGGTTTTGGAATATGTTGACCCCATGACCTACTCAACATCGTGCGTTCATATCTGCCATTGGAAGTTCGACAAGTATTTTAGTGACTTCCATTCTTCTTTTTAAACTTTTTTTTTTCTAGGGTTTTCGCTTTTTCATCACCCCGTTACAATTTCTCCTCCGCCCCTTCGATTCGCAGCTCCTTAGGCTACATTCACCTCGATTTGCTGTCCAATTTTCTCGATTGTAAGTGCATCTTTGCTTACAATACAATTTTCTTGAATTATATTTTTCGTTTCTGTATGGATTTGTTGGTGAAAAGCTCTGGTTTTGTGTTTGTTATGATTTAACTTTGATGCGATGCGAGGCTTTTATTACCCCTTCTTCATAAATACCTATTGGCTGGCTGGCTAGCCGGCCTCCCCTAAATTCTAAATTCTCTCAAGTCTCAGGTTTAAAGATTTGATTCGATTGTTATCGTAATTATTGTCTCTCGTTTCTAGGGTTTAATTGTCTTGCTGCTGATGCAAGGAGCTGAGACTTGTTAGTTTCTCTTGAGGGATATATATCAGTAAGATGGAGGATGGGGAGCTTGAATTTTCTAACCAGGAGATGTTATCCAGTTCGAATTTCTGCGAATTTCCAGACAGTAACTCCTATATGGATAGCTTTTTGAATGAAATCCTCAAGGATACTCATGCATGCACTCATGCTCACACCTGCAACCCGCCTGGCCCTGATAACTCCCACACCCACACTTGTTACCATGTGCACACCAAAATAGTACCTGCTCCCAGTGAAGAAGATAAGGCCCCCAGTGATGATACTGCAGAATCTGTGGATAAGAAAGAAAAGAAACGGCCTCTCGGCAATCGGGAAGCTGTCCGCAAGTACAGGGAGAAGAAGAAGGCCAGGGCTGCATTGTTAGAGGATGAAGTTGTCAGGCTGAGGGCTCTAAATCAGCAACTTTTGAAGAGGCTACAAGGGCAGGCAGTGCTCGAAGCTGAGGTTGCAAGGCTCAAGTGTTTGCTTGTGGATATAAGAGGAAGAATTGAAGGTGAAATTGGATCCTTTCCGTATGAGAAGCAGCAAGTCAAAAACAGAGATGCATATCAGGATCTTGTTAATCCTACTGCCCTTCCTGGAGGAGGAGGAGGAGCATATGTTATGAACCCTTGCAATATGCAATGCAATGATCCCCTTTATTGCCTCCAACCTGGTTCAGAAGGTGGTGGTGTGAGTTCAGAGGGAACTACATTGAACAACCAAGGATTATTCAATAATTGTGATTTTGAGAGTCTACAATGTTTGGGCAATCAGACTTCTTCTGGATTCAAAGAGCTTCCTGGTTGTGGTGTAGGCAACAGTAAGCCTGCCAATGTTTCTGGTGGGAGTAAGAAAAAAAGTAAGAAATTTAATGACAACTGAGTTTTTTTTTTTTTTTTTTTGGCATTTTGACTTGAGCAGTAATGATGAACAAGAGTAAAGAGTTTCAGTTTCTATCCTAGCTAGATATTTTAAATGAATGCTTGTATATTAGTTAGAGATCTGTTTTTCTTGAAAACTTGTTTTAATCCACTGCCATTCTGCAAATATTGATTTCCTTTTGTTCATCTCTTAGGAGCAGCACGCTCAGCTACAGCTAGTTGAACTCTTCAGGTGGAGGCATCATCTTCAGTGTAGACAACAAGTATGATGTCTGTTATCATACCTCCCCCTCCCTCCCAGAACTTGATTTTGTTGGGATTTAGGGATAGCAGCTCAGGCTCTTTATTTTATTATTATTATTATTAGCTCAATAACACCTTAGTGGATGAGATGCAGTCCATGGATATTAAGTCTTACTTAACAACAATCTTATGTAAAGCATAAAACTTGTGTCATGCAGCTGACACAGCTTATGAAGAGGAAACCAACATCTTGGTTGCCTAATGAAGCTCTGGAGCTGTTTTGCTCTCAAATCACATATGTTCATTCTTTGTTATTTTAGCGCCCAAACTAGGTTTCTTGTTGAAAATGAGACATTACTGTTTTGTAATGCGGAGGATCTAAAGTTCCGAGCAATACAATCAGATATATGACAAACACCTTAGTCAATTTCTACTCCTAAATACTTAAATTAAGATGCATCAACATTTTGATTTGTGCTAGTGGGCAATGGGAAAGCATGCTGCAATTCATCCCCACCCGTTCCATTAAGTATATACTAACCAGTGAGCCAGCCACTTTGCAAAGGGTTAACATCAGAGGGAAAGCTTAAGAATAACAAACATGTGGTTGGTTACCCAAGTGCATATAATAAGCTATCTTGTGCATTTCCACCAGACCCAACTAATGTTTGAAACAAACAAAAAAAAAACACATTACACATTCTTAACCAACGTTCCAAAAATATTCAGAACAGGATTATACAATGCATGACCTTCCCCAACATTTTTAAAAACGTTTCAACAGAAAAAACATGTTCAAGATTCAAGATCCATCCGTCTGCAATTCTTCATCATCACGATATATGCTCTCAGCCATTTGCCAGATCTGAAGAGAATTGTCCTCTGCTACACTTGATATGACCCATGGCTCATTCTTGTTCCACGAGAAGTCAGATATCTTAGCCTTGTGACCTCCATGAGAGAACAGAAGCTCAGAAGGACCATCTTCAGCTTCTCCCTCCATTTGCTCATCTCCAATCCTGAAACACATTGCCAAATCAGAACAGGGAGTGATCAATTTCTCCCTAAGGAGAGAGGACACCCCTCAGGTGTTCAATTTCCACCATATGGAGGGCTGGATTGGAATATAACTGATGCAAAAACTTACGAACAGATATATGCCCCTTGGGAAAATATAATTCTAAAGCATCAAGTTCACAACAATACCTATTAAGGTCCCAAACCATCAACCTTCTGTCGCCAGCAGAAGATGCTAACACTGTTTCATGGTTTGGATCCCATTCTACCTGGAAAACTTCATCCCTGCAAAGAATATCAAGTAGATCCAGGTTGGAGTACCCAAGTATATGTCAGAGCATAACTGTATTATTAAGAGTAAATGGGCATACGTATGACTACTTAAGACATGCAATGGAGAGCTCAATTTTCGCATGTCAAACAGACCAACTGTAGTGTCTGAAGATGCCGTGGCAAGAACCCACTCATTATATGGATTGAATGATAAATAATTCACCTGAAAGAAAGAATAAGATGCATTTAGCAACAGAACATAAAGGACACCTTGCAGAAAATAGTAAAACAGTAATAGTAGTTAACAACAAATGCTTATTTATTCAAAGACATTAACCCAAATTCCAGACTTAGAACTACCTTAAGTAATGGCATGTACATACTGGCACGAGTAGAAAATAAATTATAGCTACACATCTCATCTACAAAAGGCTAGAAACATCTGTGAAATCAATTTAGTACAATAGATTGCTCCATATTTATTCATTTCAAAGCAATTTCCAAAACTTTTTAGTTGGAGCAGCTTATTCATCTCACAATCCACAAAAATTGGAGAAAGATGAATGAAGTATATCTTCATTATTGAAGGTGGTTTGCTTACAAAATTACTGGGGAAAACTTAATAAGCTGTGTAGTAAAGATATATGGAAACACCCCAAAATATCAATGAGAAACACTCAAAGAAGTGCATTATAAAAAATCATAATCACCTCTTTTTCATGAACTATAACAGAGTGCTGAGGCTTATTTGTGCGCAAGTCCCAAATGATTAGCCGGCAATCATCTCCAACAGATCCAAATAGATTTTCATTCTTTAAATGCCATGAGACATCCTCAACTACATCTTCATGCTCCTATAACAACATGCATGATTTGTATACCAGAAATTAGAAGCTATGTATTTACAGTGAAGACTCCAAGTTAACATTGAAATCAATACAGTGTGATCTGAGAGGCAAACAAGACTATATCACCAGTTACCTTATAGATATGATCTGCTTCAAGCACTTTATCATTAGGTGTAGCAGATATATTCCATAAGCAAATTTTGCAATCATTTGAGCCACTCAAAAGACTCCCCTCTCTGAATGGGCTCCATGACAAGCCATACCCTTCTTTATCATGACCTCTCAGTCTTAAGTAAGGGTCACAAGATCCCCCTTCATCATGATTCAAATGCTGGTTGGCACTGTCAAACACGTAAACTTCACAGCCATTAGTTTTAGCTGCAACAACACCTGTGTTCTGCGGCATACATCTTGCCCTATTCACTTCCCCATCACAGAGTATCTTTTGTACTATCTCAACCTGTAAACAATAGGCAAACTTAGGAAAATCATAATTCACCAGAAGCAGCTCCATAGTACGGCTCCCAGTCTTAGCCATGCAAAGAGAACCTAAATAAACCTAACAGGTCTATAAGTAAATGAAAGTCCTTGAGCTCCGGAAGATAAAGAAAGCAATGTTCATACAGGAATTCCATCAAACACCTTGCACGAATATATTTCAATCAGGAGTCGAGAATATCCTCGTAAAATTAGATGTTGGAAGAATCGACATATATAGGCAAAATGTGTACAAGTAAAACATCTAAACGTTTTTTTAAAAAAAAAAGTTACGAAAAGCAACCTTGGGGGTTTGAAATTCACTGAGATTGTGCTCTAGGCCAGAGGCAGGGTTCCGAGGAAGGTAGGCCTGAGCGAGCATAAGGAAGTTGGGACAGTCGTCAGAGGTATGGGTTCCCAGAAGGAGCTTGTGTACAGAGAAAGGACCGTCATGAGATGGAGGAGAAGGAAGGCACTGAACGGTGAGAGAAGGCCACTCGAGGGAATGAGAGATGACGAGGTCGTACAACAACGGCGTGTTCTTCTTCCACACCGCGAACTCCTCATCCACTCCTTCGCCTCCGGCGGTCGCCTCCATTTCTCTCTCTACCATTCTCTCCCAGTCAAGAACTGTGAACCAAGTCGCGGTGGAGGGTATACGAAAGAAAACGCAGCGGCTGCGCGGATTCAGGATTCTGTTTTCCCCGCCAAATGTGAAGCGTAAATGGAGGGAGGGAAAGTTGCTGGGAATTTGGAGTGGGCTTAGTTTGATCTTGTGGATTGCTCAATAACTATTGTCAAGCCCATTACATGATCTAAAAACTAGCCCAAACCAGAAGGATAGGGCAAATTATATTGTGCACCGCGGTGCATAATCGATTATGCACCGCGCATCAAAACGACATTGTTTTGTTTAATAAAAAGAAACGGCATCCGTTTCTCGCCGTTCCGCACCCTTCCACAAAATGAAACTGACAAAAAGTAACTATGTTATTCAATTTCATTTTGTATACACTGCAGTTTCAGTTCAACACAACTACAGTTTCATTCGATATTTATAGACTCAAATATGTGAAAATGTTATTAAATTTTATTTTATATACACTATAGTTTTATTAAAATACAACTATATGATCATTTTGATATAATTACAACGTCATTGTACAATATACACTCAAATATGTGAAATGTTATTCAGTTTCATTTTATATACACTGCAGTTTCATTTCATCACAACTACAGTATCATTTTAATATAACTGCAGTTTCATTTGATAATATAAAAATAATACGTGAAACAGTGTCGGTTTAGATATACTGTAGTGTCAGTTGGTAATTAACATACAAAAAAATGCGCGCTCCGTTAACACTAACGGCGCGTCGTTTCTTTACTTAAAGAAACGGTGCGCTGTTTTGACCGCGGTTCACAATATAACGACCCAGAAGGATAGATATTACCAATCCTTATACCGTGGACCAGATTCGTACCATGTCGTTTTTTAAACCATAAAACATGTCCAATTCGCATGTGTTTGATTGTCCAATTCGCGTTACAAGATTTTTTTTTAAACCATAAAACATGTATATGTCTTGTGTTGTGAATTTTTTTTATCGTGTGTTATGAAATTTTGTACCTGAAATAGATTAGAAGTTGTGTGGACATAACATGAGAAACGGGAAAAAACTACTGAATCTATTAAAATTTAAATATCAAAACGACATCGTTTGGATCCAGGGTCAACACCCTAGTCCACGATATAAATTGCCGAACATTACAATCATTATAACATGGATCATGGTCCATTTTGTGAGGTGAACCACTTAACGTAATATACATTTTTAATATATTAAATGTACATTTTTAATGCATTACATCTTTATTTATTAAATGTACATTATTTGATATATTATCAAATAATAAACATTTAGGACACAAATAATATACCTTTAATATTACAGTATATTAAAAAATAAACATTCTTTCCAAAAAATAAACAGTTATTTATGATTCACATTGTAATTTGGAGCAAGATCTAAAGTATAAATGTATAATTTGCCTTGACATTAAGAGTAGACAACTAGACATGAACAAAAATGTCACACTTATTTCATTTTTGACTCCACATGTTATAATCAAACCAAAAGTGAATTATAATTTTTTATTTAGCTTATCTTTAAATAAAATTAGAACATGTACAGTACAGAACATATTTCTTGAATGCTAATTGGCTTAATTGCTAAATGCAGGAGTATTTGTAATTGGATTGTTGTACGTTCTTTCCGTGCTGCCAACCCGTATATAATGCAGAATATACATAGATGCATATTTTCGTGCTAGCTAGCTTACGTTTCCTCATTTCCATGAACAAACAAATATTATTCAAATACATGAAGTATTTAACATCCATCATAACCAAACAAACAAATCACTTACAGCCTTGCCTTGCCTTGCTTGTATTAGTCCAAAATTAAGGAAAACAGAAAACAAACAGCCATCCATCCAAACCCCTTAGATAAGTAGGGAGCTAGCCTTGCAACTACCTTCAACTCCATCGATCTCTACATAAATAATATGTTTCATTTTATGAGATATATAGTATGTACTGATATATTGTTATTGAGCACTGCATATTGCACACTTACTGCATAATGCATAATCAATAGCCATAATTTGTCCTCACGTCCACACCTAAAGACTTGTTCTCACCTGATATATATACACACACACACATCACATGACAACACATGCAGCTGGGTTTTCATCGCTGAAGGCAGTGGTGTAGCGAACTTCAGTGGAACTGGCACGGGCAAGCTGGTAACGTTGAGGATCATCATCTGCCCTGCGCACGTACCCAGCAGGGGCTTTCTTGTCATACACCCCTTGTGCATATGGGTGAGCTACCACGTCGTAGGGAACATAAGGCCAAAGCTCAGCCTTCTTGCCAGTGCGATGAGCCACACGGGCAACAACCTTATCTGGATCCACATACCCGATAACTGTGAGTTTGTGTTGCTTCGGCTCAATCTGTACTGAGCTCACTCCTTTCATTCCCTCAACAGACCTTCTCACTTTCCTCTCACATCCCTCACAGTCCATCTTCACTCTTACCTCCACTGTCTGATCATTCATCATCAAATAAATTAAATTAAAATATATCACACTTAGCAAGCTAAGCTTGTTCAGAATTACTATACATACTATACACCCAGCACACTAAGGTCTCCATATATATATATATATAGTACCTAGCTAAGCTAGTTCAATCAGACAAAAGTGAAAACATACAAAAAGAGAAAATGCATAGACACAGACTGGAATATAACAGGTCGCCATGCCTGCAAGCCAAGGTATTAAAAAGCTGAAGCAGCACGCATTGCCCGCCCACTCAAAGTATAGATAGGTACTCCAACTGTACTAATTACAACGTAACTAGCTTAGCAACAGGCAGGACAATTAATTTGTTATTTGTGTCATCCATATATATGATCTGGCATGCTTAATTAGCAATTGTGGGGTTTAATGGTAGCAGATCAGATCAAGAAGTGCAAGGAAAATTAAAACAAACCCCTATATACACTAGCTGTATAATGTACTGCAAGCTTTGTTAGTTGTCATCCTTGCTTGGAAGGATGACACCTTAGGAAACTCAAGTCAATTTTACACCCATGGATCGGAGGAAAGAAGTTACTATAACCGTACCAAAGATAGATGCATGAATCTTAAGGTCTTATATCTATTCATTATTCCAAATTCCTTATGAGATGGAATTCTAAGGTGACTATGACTCATGAAAGAACATTCTTAAGATCAAAAACATACATATGTACCCCAGTGAAATACACATACATGTATACAGTATATATTATATAATAGTAATCATAACTACACGGATTTGTTGTGCTTATAAGCAAAGGTGTTTTGTTTTCAAAAAAAATAAGCAAAGGTGTTTGCATAAAAGTATAGGTGCAGGTAGGTATTATAACAGGAGCAGCAGCACATGGTAGGCCCCGGCCTCATAGACTATTCTAGTTTGTCTGATTGCTTAGCTTTAGCCTTTAGCCTTTAGGCCGCCTGCCGACCATAGTGCGTTGCTAGCTAGGTCCACAGGTCGAGAAGTATCCTTTTTTTATTTGTGTGTGTGTGTGTGACTGTGTGTGTCCAAATTTTCACAGTTGAGTTGAAGGAGTAATTGATACTTCATTAGTTCATTATCAACTTCAACTCCCAGATGTGGTTGTGTCAACTGTACGTCAAGCATACACTCCGTATATAAACGATCTTATAATAATCTGATCTGAATGTCTTAATTACTTTTTCAGCAGTTCATTATTATAAGATTTGAAATATTCAAGCTGCAGGTTGAGTCCAAAAGCAAAGCTATACTGAAAAGTGCATGGAATGAAGCTAAGCTTGCTTAGCAACCAAACAAGGACCTAAAACGACCGACGATAATCACCGGCGTCTGCCACAGGCCACAGTATACATACTACGCAGATCTAATTGGATAGGATAGCACAAAGAAAAGCACAGAGTGTGAGGTGAAGAAATTAAAGATTACATTATTATATTGATCGGAAAAGAAGAAAAGAAATAATGAAGATCGAGTATGTAGTACCTGCAATTGCTTGCGTTTCTTGTGCTTAGATTCGCCAGTGGAGCAGTCAAACACATCAGACAGATGATCCAGAACTCCCATTCTTTCTCCGCCCTCCTTCAATTCTCTCACTCACCAACTAGTTGCAATGAAATTGGATAATGACTAGTAGCCGTAGTCGTAGGGGGACTCACTAATAAAGACGACAAACTTAAATGATTAAAGAAAATATCTTGAATGCTCTTACTTATCTCTAGCGAGCTCAGCCGCTCAGGTGCTCTTGTTTGACGTTGAGACCATGATTTTGAAAGGCGCTCTAACCCTTGAAACACCAGAGCCGTTAGATCATCCTAGATTTCAAAGGGGTCGGAGCTGCTCTGTGGGCCACGGTGGGGACATTACTACGTGGCCTTATGTGTTGGATTCACGGTGCAGTTGTCCCCCACAATCTTCACTGTATTGTCGTATTCCTCCAACATACCCACCTTTCTCCAAAATCAATTGTTCTTTTAAAACTTGATCTTCGGGAGAAGAGTTGAGTTTTTAAACCAACAATTGATTTTGGAGAATTATAATTCATTTACTTAGTCATCTCTTTCAGCCTTTAATTTGTTTCTTTACATCGTGGGTTGTTCCACTGTAAGTGATACTAAAAATGATAATGAGATATTTGGTAAATAATTATTAGTTGATTGAGTTAGTGGATTTAGCTAGTGGATAATGATTGTATGCAAATGTTTGGTAAAAGGCTTTTTGAATTTTAATATGTTGGAGCAATAAATTATTAGGAAAGGCTAATTAATTGAATATGCATATTGATTGTTTAGCCAAGTCAAATAATTAATAGTGATTAAATAAATCAAAATTGACCGATAAACTAATTATATTACCAAACACGGTCAATACCTTCAAAATAAATAATCTAACATATTAAGTATATGATTCTCATATTATATTTTCGATCACTCAAATAAATATAACAGCCACTCAAAAAAATATAACAGCTTAGGTAATTATGAAGTATATACATCACACAAAATGTAATGTAATAATGTTATGTTACTTTGATTTGTGTGTGTTGCCTTTATACTCATTTTTTTAAATGGTCAAATTGGTTCTTTTAATTTTTATTTTTTTAAGAAAACTTTATTTAAATCTCTAAACGGGTAAAATAGTCCAATTAAGTCTCAACTTGACTTGTTAGCCATTCTCGAGTTGACGCATGTCTATTAAAAAAAATTAAAACTTTGTATTTTTTAAATTTGAATTAAAATAAATAAATTACAGCCACCGGATGTAGAAGATAGCCGACAACTGTCTAAAGTAAACGGTCATGGTTATCTAGTAACAGCCATGACCGTTTCCAGATCTGATATCTCGAACGATGGTGGCGACTATGAGCGTTTCCCTCGTTTAAGAGATGATAGAGAGGTTTGAAGTGAAGGCGACTATGGTCACTGCATTCGCTTCAGTCCCTCTCTATCATATCTAGGAATCTTAGTCGAAAATGGGTTTGAAGCGAAGGCGGCGGTCATGGTCGCCTTTGCTTCAAACCTCTACCATCTCTTAAACGAGAGCGGCGACTCATTCCAAATCTGACAACAACTTTGAGATTCCCATAAAGGATATAATCAACAGCGGCATCTCAGCCAGAGGGCGGCGAAGCAGGAGCCATGTTTTCTTCATTCACACCCATCAAACCGGGTTGTTTCTGATTCGGGTTCTTGGTTGGGACTGCAATTTTGGGCCTTTTTGTAATCACTATGAGAGCATTATCTAGTGAAAATGACAACCACTGGCTGTCGAATAAAACAGTCTGTGGTTATAATTTTTTTAAATTCAAATTAAAAAATAATAATAAGAAAGACACATGTCAACTCAAGAATGACTAACATGTGAATAGGTGATTTGGGATTCGATTGGACTATTTTACTAATTTAGGGGGCTTAAATGATTTTATTTTATTTTTTATAACTTAAAGGATCTAATTGCATTATTCGATTGACTTAGGGGCCAAATTGATTTTTTTTTTCCTTTTTCTATATTTAATTAGTCAAACCCTCATCATTTAATTTATCCATAAAGACACATTATATTTAAATTAATATTGATGAGGATATTGGGCATGTGTTGTAGACTTATTGGGTCAGTGTTACTGGGCCACAGGATGGGCCGAAGGGGAGCGGGCTGGTGAGGGGCGACCAGAGGCGCCATCGCCGGTGGCTGGAGGTGGTCGCGGACTAGGGCGTTGGCCCTAGCCGGCGACGGCGCGCTTGGTGCGCGGCTGGGCACGGCTTCGGCGCTCCCTCGCGCGGGGGGGGGGGTGGGGGGGAGGGGGGCAGTATGCGGCCGGAGGTGGTCGCCGACTGGGGCGCTGGCCCTAGTTGGCGATGGTGCGGTCCCAGCGCGGGGCAGCGTACGACATCACGGACCCTCGCGCAGGGTAGCGTGCGGCGAGGGTGGCCGGTCTCTAGTAGTGCACCGCGAGCGTGACTCCCGTGCGCACTTCGATGAACGCAGGGGGCGATGTGTCGACGTGGGGTGTGCGGGAGGTAGCGAGTATAACGTGGGGCACGTGGCGCTTGTCAAGGGGATGTCGATCTTGGGACGTACACGTGGACGGAAGATGGCCGGGAGAGTACTATATAAATAGGGGGTCTGGATTCTTAGTAAGGTACGACAATAAAACTCAACAAACACTACGGTTTAGTGGTCTTGATCTCATTCTCTTAATCTCTTTACTTGGGTTTGATTTCTGCCAATAATATATTTTCTATTTTACACCCTTATACCCAGTTTATAGTGGATTCAGTCCCGATAAAACCATTAGATATCTATTAAAACAAAATTTTACATAATAACATTTAAAAAAAAATTGGATTGCAATGATCATCAAACCTCACTTTACCGTTTATCCTCCTTCTCAACTTTCATTTATGCAAATATTTTAGTATGTGAACTTGAATAAGATTTATTTTACCTTTGGTTTGGTTTGAAAAAAAAAATAATAATAATAATAATAATAAAAAAATTGAAAAATAATCAATTTTCTAAAAGCATTTTCATTCTTTCCAACTTTCACCTCTATAATTCTAAAAACATTTTTATGTTCTAATTAATGTGCATACTACGATGCAATTTTCATTTTTTTTTTAATTTTTTTTAAATTTTTTTTTTTCTATGTTTGAATGCTACCACACAATTTTAGTCAATGAGAAAAGATGCTTTGTAGCTACTCAAAACAATCTTTCTATATATATTAAAGAGTCATAATCTTAGTAATTACATTCTAGAATCAGATTGTGTGAATCTAGTTCATGCTCTATAAGGTAAGGTGAAGAACTCTTTCTATATTTGTATGGTAATCAATGATTGTGTAAACTTCCCATGAATAAACTTTTGGGAAATTCTGTAGAACAAAAAAAATAGAGAAGAGTTCTTTAACAAATGGGAAGAGTGATTTTTTAAAATGTTTATTCCTACAAAATAAGTTTTTTTATTTTTTGTTTTGTTTTTTTTTTGTTTTGTTTTTTTTTTTTTTTTTTTTTTTTTTGTAGACCCCACTAATTGAGAATAAATTGGGAAAAGCCATTTGCAAGTGCACATTAGGCACACTTGCTCTACCTGCCTGACGCGTGCACTGCAAGTACCCATTAAACGCGTAAATAACATTTTTCTTTTTGTTTTCAACTTCTTTTTTTTTCCCTCTTCTATCTCCTACTCCTTTTTACATGTACCTAACAAAAACTAATCTATCTCCTGCTCTTACAGCTTACTCTCTTGCTAAAGTTGGCCCAAAAGTTTGAAACGAGTTAATAACCAAAATGGTCCATCGACTATGCCGTAATTACCAATTTGGTCCTCGACTACCATTCTTACCAAATTAAGTCCTCAACTATGCAATCTTTACCTAATTTAGTCATCCGTTAGTTTGCCTGTTTGTTGACCGTCAAAATTGATGGTAAATTTGTAATTCAACAAGCTTTCCCCCTCCTCCTCTGACAGATTTTCACCATAACTGTGACTCCACCATGCGCAAAAACAGCTCATGCATTGTCTGAGTTCCCTGTGACTTTTATCAAACACCTTGCGGCATAATCGTTCCCCAATTCATCCCTCCCACTCTCCAAGATCCTAATCAATGGAGAAACTATCCCAGCCATGATAAAAACACATCTGAAGAGTTGAAACCCTGCAATTACAGACGCCGCCTTTGTAGCCTCTTGGTGAATGTCGGCTTCTTGAAAATCAAGAAGGCTCACTAGCACAACTATGAAGTTATCGATTTCAATGGCGGCTTTCACATACCTTTCATCTTCTTGAATCGCTTCATTGAAGGCCACTAGAGCTTCTTTCTTCATCTGGGCACGCTCGATTTTCAATCGTGACAGCAAATTGGTGATGTAAAACTTGATATCCTCGCATGATGCCGAGGCGTTGGGCCGTGAAACCACAATCTCATTGCTTTGTTTTAGCAGCCCGCGAGCACAAATCTCCACCATACCCTTTATATGTCCGTCCAATTTCGCGGACACAATATCGAGATCACTCTGCATCAATAGTTTCCCGTTGTAGGTTAAATCCACGCAGCGCCTAGTGAGATCGTGGCAGCTCTTCACGGTGGCGGTTATGGACTTCACGGAGCCGAGAAGTCTACGGTTTTCATCCGAATCGTCGCAGCTTTCGACGGCGAAGACACCAACGAGAAGCTCCTCCAGTTTGCAGCGTATCAGTGCATACGATAGGGCAGCAACCAAATCTTCAGAGAGTGGAAGCAAACAAAAATTTCAGGAATACGAAGACGATTTAAAATAGGCAGGCCAGTGGAGAAGGAGGAGAAAGCTTGTTGAATTACAATTTTGTTCTCAATTTTGACGGTCAACAAATATACACACTAACGAAGAATTAAATTGGATAAAGATTGCATAATTACGGACTTAATTGGGTAAGAATTGTAATTGAGGATTAAATTGATAATTACGACATAGTCGAGAAAACATTTTGATTATTAACTTGTTTGAGACGCTTATGGACTTGCTTTGTACTCGTGATTTGATTTTACTTCAATAATAATACGGAGTATTCTTTTGATGTTTTTTTTTTTTTTTTTTTTTTTTAAAGAGTAGGGGCAAAGGTCCTCTGACTATAGTGATTTTCCACAATTGGTCCTCGTCTTTTAATTTGGACAAATTTGACACTTGACTATCAAAATCTTTCCAATGTTGGTCCTTCCGTTAAATGGCTGTTATTTAGACGTCAAAGTGAGGGGTAAAACTGTTCTTTCATCTGTCGAGTGTCTTCTTCTTCTTCGTTAGCCTCATACTGATAAAACTCATTCCAATTCTGCAGTTCTTTATATTAACACATCTTGCTAGATATAGGATGTTTTTATATTCTATCCTTCAGGTTTTATGAAATGATGCAAAGTTTTCCAATCCTTTCTTAATTTAAAAAGAAAAGATTACCCCTTTCTTTGAAAATTCATGTTGTTTAAAGTGCCAGTTAGCTTCCTATCAAAATGTCGTGAAACAATACATTAAAATTACACGCAAAAAAAAACTCTTAGCATTTTAATTTTTAAACTTACTACTTTTCTATTGCAATAATTTTTCGTTTTTACTTTTGTTTTGGTTACGAAAAAAAAGGGAATCAAAAGGGGCAAACTTCTCGGCGGAGTCCTTGACTTTGAAGTACCAAATGTCATAGCAGTCAAGCTCGAAGGACGTAATCTCTCCAGAGGCGCTGGAAACTCCGGTCATTTCCAAGCCGATGGCAACGAAGTCGGCCGCTTGATGAGGCCACACAAATCTTCGACCGCCGATTCGAAGATGGACCTTGTAACATTCTTGAGATAGAAGGTTGTCGAAGTGCAACGAACGCGACAGAAGGAGGTGAGCTCGGTGTGAGAAGCTGAGATTAGGGCATGGAGAGATTTATCAGCATATATATGGCGAGAGGCTAACGAAGAAGAAGAAGACACTCAACATATGAAAGGACAGTTTTACCCCTCACTTTGACGTTTAAATAACAGCCATTTAACGGAAGGACCAATATTGAAAAAATTTTGATAGTCAAGTGTCAAATTTATCTAAATTAAAAAACGAGGACCAATTGTGAAAAATCAACATACTCAGAGGACCTTTGCTGGAATTAACTCTTATTTTCGGTGAGCGAACCGATTACGGTGCACTGTAGCATTATACAAAATGGGTCCACAGTGAATACGGTCTATTTACAATTCATGAATTTGCTCTCTCCCTCTCTCTACATTGCCGTTTCTCTCTCTACAATATCTCTCCCTTAGGGTTCGTTTACAGATTCTCAGCGGCGACGATGTCTTCCCCAAAGATGATATTGTTGAAAAGTGCTGACGGCGAGACCTTCGAGGTCATGGAGGCGGTTGCTCTCGAGTCCCAGACGATTAAGCACATGATTGAAGACGATTGCGCAGATACTGTTATACCGCTTCCCAACGTCACTAGCAAGATATTGGCTAAGGTTATAGAATACTGTAGGCGCCATGTCGATCCTGCGAAGAGCGATGACAAGGCGAACGAGGACGATCTCAAAGCCTTTGATGCTGAATTTGTCAAAGTTGATCAGAGCACTCTCTTTGATCTTATATTGGTATCAATCTTGCTCTGCTTTAGTTCCGTCCTCTATTAATTGTGTGCGTATTTTTATTTTTGACTATTATTTTAGTGATGATTCGGAACTTTATTTTATCTTTTTTTCCCCGTTGGATTTTACTAATTGTTTAGGGTTTGCTAGTTATTGTTGTTGTGTATACAATCTTCCCTTTTTGTTGACCATGATAGGGCCTTATCCCGTACTGTTGAATTCTTGTTTGCTTTGCGAATTCTGTTTTAGTCTTATGCTCCTCCTATGTGATATCCGCAAGGTATATACATATAGAGAGATACCCATTATTCGTTAAGCCTATAACATTCAGTAACAGATTAACCTTACCAATTGTTGGAAGGCTATACCTACTGTTTAATAGTTTTGTTGAGTACGAGTTGTGAATATTATGATGTGTTGTTGCATAGGCATAGCCCAGTGGAATACAATTTATTTGATTATTGTGTAGTAAGTTTGTGTTCTTCGAACTCTTTCATAAATGGAGTTAACCAAATGATCTACAAGTTTGATCAGCTGGTAAGGAATGTGACCAAAAAGTATTGGTGTGTTGGAAGGTTGAGATTGCTGTCCTTATGGTGCCTTCACGATGCTTCATTTCTTTTCTTTTTATTTTTAGCATTCATTGTAATGGATGTCCATATTTATGGTTTTGGAGGAGTACTAATTTGTTGTTCTGTAACTTGTTAGCTACGAGTTTATGTTTGATTAACAGACTATGTGGCCTATGAGGAAGCTGCTTGTCAACTGTCAAGGTTCCTTGTGTTTGACTACTCTTTTGTCAGCTTAGTTTCGATTTCTCTGTGAAATTGAACCATGCCATGATATGTAATGTAAACTGCAAATGCTTGGTCTTTAATTCTCTTCCTTTCTTGTACAGGCTGCTAATTACCTGAACATCAAGAGCTTGCTTGATCTCACATGTCAAACAGTGGCTGACATGATCAAGGGCAAGACCCCAGAGGAAATCAGGAAAACTTTCAACATAAAAAATGACTTCACACCTGAGGAGGAAGAGGAGGTCAGGAGGGAGAATGCCTGGGCATTTGAGTGAAATATGCTCTCTGCTAATTAATTGTCTATACTCGCCGTAGGGCATACATGCTATGTGACCCAATCAATCTTATTTATGTTTCTCAGTTTATGTCAGTAAATATGATTAGAACCTCCTTGTTGCTTAATTTTGTGATTCAATCAAGACAAATGGCACCTTGCATTTTGTGGTGTGGTTATCCTTCCAAGTTCTGCGTTACTTTGCTTTCATTTGTTGCCATCCTTGGGAGTTGTGGGTATTTGCTTTCATTTGTTGCCAATATTTGATATCATCCCATTCATGTTGCCAATATGTTGGTTTAAACTGGAAGAGGGAATGCTAGCCCCAGTGGTCAAGCAGCTAATGGCTATTGGATGTAATAAAATAAAGAGTTAATACTTCAATGGTCCTCTAAGTATTAGCGATTTATTAGTTGTGATCATTCGAGTTTTAAATTATCAGTCCTCTATGTTTTAAAAAATAATCCCCCGTTGTCTTAATTCTTAATCCAAGTTTAAAATGACTATGAGATGTCTTAAAAGGACCACGGGTGATTATTTTTAAAACATGGAGATCATTGGAGGTGATTTAAAACTCGGATAATCACAGTTTGTAAATTGCTAATATTCGAAGGACCATTAGAGGTATTAACTCTAAAATAAAATAAGAGTTCCAGTATATGTATTATCAAATTCTATTCCTTCACTTTTAATTCATAATGTGGCAAATAAAGAAAAAGTATCTACATCAAAAATTTGTGAGAGGGAGTAGAGAATGGGGTAAGAAGTGAGAGCATATGTAGTATTTTTCATTAAAAAAAAAAAAAGGGAAAACAAATCCTTCTCCCAAATACCGGAAGACGTGATCCATTATCAGCTATTGGAGCGGGAGTCCATTTACAGTGCTTGTTTCAGAACTTGGGTAAAGCTATCAGAACCAAAAAAAAAAAAAAAAAAGAATGAAGTTAGTTGATCCGGCATTACTAGACGAGGAGTAGACGTGCACATGATTGAAGCAAAGCAAAATCTAATAAAAAGTAGAGATTTATAAAATGGGAATCCCCCATATATGTTTAGTTGGCCTGCCATTGCACGGAAAGTCGGAAAAAGAAAGATAAAAGCCAGTTTAATGGTGTTGGGTAAAATAGGAAATAGAGACGCCCCTAACTAGTAGTCTATCGACCGACGGACGGACGGACAGGTCCTTGCCTTCTGCCCATAGGAAAATAGCTCCCTCTTGCTGGCGCTTCGAAGCATGCTAAAGCTACAACTACAAGCAATGAAAAACAAAAAAGAAGAAAACAAACACATTTTAGTAGTGTATTTTTTATTGGGTGATGATGAGAAATTGCATTCACTATTTAGAAGTATATATTGAGTAAATCTTATTTTGTAACTCTAGCCGACAAATGACTACAAGAAGGTAAACCAATCTAGATTATCTATAGCTGATTGATTAATATTAAGAAGTTTGAAATTCGAACTCATGACATTGTAATTATAAGTTTGTATCATTAGTTAACTTGACAGAAGTTATCTATAATATAATATATTTGATATTGAGTAGTGGGAGATCAGTTGAAATTATTCAACTGCTTCTTCTATACAACGTTATCTTCAGCCTTCGCCGCAGCATATTGATTTATATTAATATTAATATACTATAGTTAGAGGAAGGTTATTGGTTATTTGTGCTTTGGATTATGTGTGCAAACACGCAATCTTAGTACGGGAATTCCTTTTCGTTGATTTGTTAATGTTACAAAACATAAGAAATTTCCCTTATGCGGTTGTTGATAGGATGCACGGCTAAAAATAATCACGTTTGCATACAAAGTTTAAAGATGGGTGACTATTATTATTAATACTCAGTAATATTTATTCTGGAGTAATATAGAATTGTAAAGATTGATTGGAGTTTGCATTGTGATCGAAACTGGTAAGAACATACCATATGAATCCTACCAAAACATCTTAGTCACCATATGGATTCCTTCAATTGGCGGGTTAAAGAGATGTCTTATGGGATTTAACTCAACAGTTTAACGTAAAATTGACGATGATTGACTAGGAAATGCAACATTATATTTTTTAAGAGATTTGTGAGATGGTCTCACAAGAAACTTACCCAAAAACTAAAGAGATTTTTTATAAAAAAAATATTACTTGAATTCTCAAATTTTTTATTTCATATTTTTACTTGCTCACTTAAAATTTTAATGTTGATATTTTTATTGAAATATGAAGATAATTTATCATTTTTATCAAATTAGATGGTAAAAGTGAATAATATATTAAAAAATAGTAAAAGTGAATAAATAGAGATTAATGGAAGAGTGTTAATATTAAACCTCTTTTATAATGGAAGAGTGGCAATAGAGTAGAGACGTAGAGTGCAGAGCAGCTGGTAACAAGTTTCAAAGTTAGACAGCCCAGATAGGGTTATAGGGCGCGGGCCGGGCCCCCACCTAGTTGGCGGATTATTGAAGCCAATTGCGAGCGACCTCGCACGTCACCCAATCTTTATTACGTAGATAGTAGGTAACGATTTAAAAGCACGTAAAATACATCATTCTAATTAATAAAATATATTATTTAAATATATAAAGTAGATTATTCTAACTTATAAAATATATTATTTTATTTTAAAAATTTTAGAAAAAAAATCAAATAAGCCCCTACACTTTATCTCAAAAGTCAATTAGGCCCTTAAATTTTTAAAAAGTGTAATTAAACTCTCAAATGTGTCAAATTAATCAATAAAGCCCAAAATCGGTAAATGACCTGTTATTAGAGATCATTTCAATTCCGACGATCGGCGATGAATTCTGTTACCAACGACAGTCGTCAGATTCCAGTCGTCCGGTCGTCTTCCATTAGAGAATACGACCGGACGGCCGCCTTCTCCAAATGAAAAACACGACTAGATCTGGAAGGCTTCATTGACCTAATTTGACATGTTTGATGGTTTAATTGCACTTTTTTAAAGTGTAGAGGCCTAATTGACCTTGGATAAAATTTATGAGTCTATTTGACTTTTTTCTCAAAATTTTATTATTCTAACACATAAAAGTTCCTTATATATTATTGTAACTTTAAAATATATTATCTTACTTTAAAAATTTCATTATTCTAACACATATAAAATATATTATTTTAACTCATAAAATATATTATCTTACCAAAAAAAATTTTGATTTTTAACATTAAAACGAATTATTTTGGACCGTTCTCCACCATAATTTGGCCACATCACCGAACAAAGCATGAAGCATCGCATAATTGATAATTCTGGTCTGAGACACCAATACGCCTTCCTTCTTTCCTTCCTCACGACTCCCCGATCCGCACTGCTTTGTCTCTTTCTTCTCTTCTCTTCTGAGTTCTCAAGCAACAAAATAAATTGCAAAAAAATAGAGTAGCATATACGTCAGCTCCATGTGCATAATTGAAGCTAGTGAGTGGAGAGGAGCAGTATAAATAGCAGCAGCTCTGCTCCTCCTCCACGCTGCAGTGCTCACCGCAAGACAATACCAACAACCAATCATATCATGGCTGCAAGTAAGCCCTTGTTAGTAGAGGACGTTGAATTTCAAGCTGGCGGATCAGGAGCTAGAAGTAGAAGAACCACCTTCGCTACAACTAAATCAAAAAGTCCAAATGATCGAGTGGCATCTCTTGATGTCTTCCGCGGCCTCTGCGTTTTTGTATATATCTCTCTCTCTCTCTCTCATTTAAATTTCAATCTTCAATCATCTGCTTTGCTTTGCCTTTTCAATTTAGATTCGTTTTCTACTACCTGCTGACATCACTGCTTTATCAATTTCCTGCTCTACTCTGCTAAATTTACTTCCAATCCCAAATCTACCTCAGTCTCAGCCTGGTACACTGGCGTTGTCCCGCTATATCTGCACATCAGTTTTAGTTAATTTATTTAATACTCCGTATAATAATAATAGTAATAATAAAATACAAAAGAAAAACAGATTATTCTTTTCGTGTTTTGTGTTCCGTTTGGCTGCTGACAAAATGTAGGAGAACAATGCATATGTATTACAGTACAGTGCAAAATTAGTTCCTAGCTAAGCTAGGGAAATAAACTCTCAACTCTGAAACAAGTGGAGTAAACTTTTCCTTACCTGATCATGATCTTCTTCAAGTCATGTAGTTCCATGATATGCATACTGTCCATAAATTTTCAGCTTCTCTAAGAAATAAGAATTCTCCTTGTCTTTCAGCTTATGACATTTGTGGATTACGCTGGCTCCATTTTTCCAATTATTGCTCATTCTCCTTGGAATGGTCTGCATTTGGCTGACTTCGTCATGCCTTTATTCCTTTTTGTTGCTGGAGTTTCACTAGCAATTGTTTATAAGGTACTCCCTCCATAATCCATATTTATGCTTTGTGTTCACAACCTTCTATCTTTATTTATTTTATTATATACTCTTATATTACTCAATTACTGCCATTCACCAATGAATATGATTTTCATCTTTATATGTCTTAGGATCCTTCGCACAAGGAAAGGTCTACCTGGAAGGTTGTGGCAAGGACATTAAAACTTTTTCTCCTTGGTATCCTTCTTCAAGGTAATAAATATTTCAAAATTTATTGTGCTAACTCTTTCCTCAGTATCCTGAAAAAATTGTTGCCCAATATACATCTTGAAAAATTATAACAAACTGTTTCCTCATCAATACTCAAAATAAGGCCAAACTGGAATAAAATTATCCTATTTTTATACCAATCTTCTATTTTTTTTCATGACACTTAAGCTCTTACTGTTCCAAATGTGTTTCAATTTGACCTACTACTCTGACCTTGAATGGAGACAGTATTAAAATAGTTGCGGCTGCCCACTATTTTAAAATGGCTAAATTTGCTAAAGTTTATTCTTGATGACATTGTTTGTAGTCTACGGGTTGGGAACTTAAAATTTTGTCTACTTTATATATATATATATATATTATACTGTTATAATTCTGTTCTTCAATTAGTGTCAATGGTTTTAACTTCATTTCAGGTGGTTTCTTGCATGGGATAACTTCTTTGACATATGGTGTGGACCTTGAAAGAATACGCTGGCTGGGAATCTTGCAGGTCCCTTTGATTTTTATTCCGACTAGTTATTGTGCTACTTATGCAAATATTTTTCTCCCCGGTTTCTTCCTATATTTGGGAGGAACATGTTTGATTGGATGGGAGATTATCTTGTCATTTTATTCTGTTAAACTTCTCCACCAATGCAATCAGGATTGGGGAGAACATGGATCCTCATTCATTATCGTTTTGTACAGAGGATATCTGTTGGACACATTGTAGCTGCTTTGCTGGAGATATGGGATCCATATGAAAAGAGAAAAAAAGATAGTTTCTTCATGAACTATATTTGGCATTGGTAAGTTGCTGGTAGCTGAAGTTATCATGGATGTCATACAATTAAGGAAGATGCACAGTGATTGGAAGTAAAATAAAATAGGATTGACGTTTCTGACAGGCATAGATTTAAGGTTATTGTGATTAGTGGCTCAAACTCAAAATAATTCAAGAGAGTTATACTATCCAATTTTAATGCCTGTCAGAAAGGATCCTTTAGTTTTAGAAAGTTGCATGTCTGATCTGTCTCCACAATCAACTTAATTGAGAATATTTTCTTTGCTTGCTTGGTTTCTAGGTGTTTCATGTTCTTTCCCCCCCCCCCCCCCCCCCCCTATATAGCTATTTCTATTCATTTGGTTTTTCATTCCTTTGTTTATAGGTTCACTGCATTTGCACTATCTGCTATATATACGGGCTTATCGTATGGGTTGTATGTACCCGATTGGCAATTCAGTTTACCGCAGTCAGCTTCCTTTGATTCATCCAGCGAAAGCTATATTTACAAGGTTAGATTAGCTTATTGAGATTGACATATTGTATAGTAATTTGTGCTTCTAGGGATGGATTTCGGTTATTCTCACCAAACTTAGCAATACCTTAAGAATGAAGTATTGTTTTTTGTTATTATCCGAATTCCATTCTTTGTTTAAATGCCTTAATCTTGTCATCAAGAATGAAATAGGACATTTTCTTTTTGAACTTACAGGTTAACTGTTCTGTAAGAGGTGATATGGGACCAGCCTGTAATCCTGCTGGAATGATAGATCGTATTATTCTTGGAATTGGTCATCTCTATGCAAAGCCTGTATATAGAAATCTGAAGGTAACTTTACCACCAAGATACCATATTGAAAGTCAGGTTCATATGTCAAGTTTTCCCAATACAACTAATACTGTGATTTGTAGGAATGCAAAATATCCTATCCACCTTCCTGGTGTCATGCTCCCTTTGAACCTGAAGGTATTTTAAGGTAACAAATTCAGTCTTTCCTTTCTCGGTTTCTCCTCTCTCTGAAGGCCTGTAAAATGATTCTGTCTATTTGCAATCCTTCCTCAATTCAAAAATTCAAAGTGCCTGAGATTTCCCGATCTACAACTCCTGCCATTTTTGTTTAACTTTTTTTTTTTTTGGATACTCAGAAACATAAATTAAGATGAATTCACTCCTCTTTATTCTTAAACTTAATAAGAAATGACAGCACTTTTTTTCTATTTCCCTTTGAGCAGCTCACTAACATCTGCTGTCACCTGCATTATTGGACTCCATTATGGTCACATTCTTGTACAGTTGAAGGTGATGCATCTGCAGTAACCTATGTAGTTTGGTTATTGGAATATGCAACTTTGTGTGCTGATAGTCATAGTTGTTTTGCAGGACCATAAAGAAAGGCTGTACAATTGGTCGCTTGTTTCATTTCCATTTTTGGTTCTTGGATTGTTCTTAGCCTTGCTCGGTATGTATGTCTCTCTTGAGCTTTTCTTAGTGTGTTCTAGTATATCAAGTGAGACATAAAACTATAGATTTAATTTAAAAAGTCCCAATGACATTTGTGAGTCTTTCAGGTATCCCTCTAAACAAATCTTTGTATACAATAAGTTACATGCTGGTAACGACGGCAACTGCTGGAATCACATTTTCCATTTTGTATATATTGGTGAGTCTTGAAACTGAACTCTGACTCACAACACAAAATATTTGCTCATTAACTGTGGAAAATGGTAAAAAAGAAAGAGTTGGGGAAGAAGAGAGAAATTTAATGAGGATGAAAAGCTTTAATATAGTATACCTGCAAGATAGTTTGATGTTGTTGTAGTAGTTGTAGTACAATCATCCAACTGACGTGCATTTTTTGGTGTTTGGTATGTGGCAAAGATTGACGTATATGGGTTGAGAAAGTTATTCTTCTTGTTGGAATGGATCGGAAAGCATTCTCTTTGTATTTTTGTTCTCATAACATCAAATATTGCTGTGATTGCAATCCAAGGTTTCTATTTGAGAAGTCCAGATAACAACATTGTAAGTTTTTGCGGTATACATTTGTGTCTTAGTTTCTTTCTTGTATTGTAAGAGTGAAAAAGGCATCCTAACTCAGAAGTTGTGGTGGTAGGTCAACTGGATTGTTACAAGTGTGGTGCAGAAATGAGACGCCTGCAACAAAATGCACTTTATATATATATATATATATAGTATTTGCAGAGAAGGGTTTACTTAATTACAGTCATGCGGGCAGCTGCGTCATCCATGGATTGGAAGCAGGAGGGGTTTCCATACCAAGGGGCAATAATGTATACTTACTGGCTAATTGAGTTGGTGACCAAGTTATGTATGTAATTCTGAGGTTGCCGTTCTTTAATTAGTGCAATGGTTTACTTGTGTTTCGCAACTTGTTATGTGTGAATTAAAGTACAAAATTGTGGCAGTGTGGTGTGGATCGCTATTATGATTATGATTATTATTATAGCAATTTCTTGAAGACAGACGTACATAAATATAGAGTTGTGTACTGAGTGTGAGTATATATTTATATTAGGTAGGAAAATGCATTGCTTTCTTTCACTCAAAGACAGACACACATACATAAACTCAACTCTGATCTAGCAGTGAAATTGAAGTTTTAAACATGAATTTTCCGATCCAGAGCAAGAGTTGGATCTAACGGAGTATTTACTACACTTATTGTTAAAGTTGGAATATATAAATATATTTCTCTTTCATCATCCATTTCTATATTATATACGGAGCAACTTTTTACTACACTTAAAACATTTAAATTATATTAAATTATTCTTTGACTTGACAGACGATGGATGAATTAATAATATTAAGTCCCAACAAATTAAAGCTAAGTTGCTTGCTTGCAGAGCATCCAACCATTGCATATATCTATCTATCAGAAAATTCCTAAAGAAAAATTCTATTAACTAATTAATTACAAAATTTTATCTTGATTATGATAAATACCTTACCTTGCTACAAAATGTAACTATTTCTTTAAATATATACTATATAAATAGATAGATATTAACAAATTGTTGGTTGGTATTAGTACATCTGATCTGCCGGCGCGCACACACACATATATATATATAGAGAGATGTAGTGTAGTTACGTGATGTAGATTGAAGTACGTAAAGATGGAAGCTGGTATTAGGTATTATATATGTAAGTAATAGATGAGCTGAGAGGTAAGTAGGGAGTGTTAATAAGTTAGTTATAATGAATTACTGTAATTAATTGGGGGCAGTCCGGCGTCGGAGGAGGAGGCGGAGGCGGAGGCGGCGGTGGCAGCAGCGGCAGCAGTCATGGGCATAATGGGATTATGATTGGGAGGTTGCCATTTAGGCGGTAGTCGGGTGGACTGAATGGGAGGCATAGCCCTGACATTAATGTCCATGGGATAAAGGCGGTAGTCTATGTCTATCTCCTTGAATATTTTAACCAGCTCTTCAATCAACAGAGATCTTCGTCCCCACCTTTCTCCCGCGTCCTGGCAGTTGATTCTGTGTCTGAGCCACACAGACATTTTGACCTTGTGCACATCCGGCATGCTGGTCATCACCACCATTGGCGACGCGTACCAGTGCTCCTTCTTGTTCTCCACATAGTTTACTATTCTCTGATGTATGGCTTTGATCTTCTCCATGGGCGTGGCCATGTGGACTAGGAAATCCACCGCATCTCCCATGTCTGGACTCCTGTAGAAGTTGCCTATAGGCCGCATTGCTAGAATGCTGTTTGGGTACACTATCTTCTGGTTGTCGAATCTGAGGAACACGGTGCTTAAGATGTTCATTTCTTCCACTATGAGCTCAACTCCGTCCACCTCGCACCGATCCCCAACGTCGAATGGATGCACCACGAATAAGAAGATTATGGCTTCGAAGACTGTCTTGCACGTGTTCCCAAATATAAATGCCACAATCACAACCTGAGAGCTTATGTAAAGTAGAACCCTGCTGGTGGCGATCCCAAGTATTACGAGGCAGATGAGAATAATGATGACGGCCACTAACACGGTCAGCATCTGGTGTAGTTTCTTCACAGCTGTTTTAGTGTCGTCCAACGTCAAGGCCAGTGCTCTTCTTTCTCTGAATGCTTTTACCTATTCAGTATTATTATTATTATTAATTGCATTGCAGCTATATATATAATATCTAATAACTAGCCTGCTGCTATATATATATATATAATTCAATTCAATTCAAACCCTAGATTAGATCAGATCAGATCAGATCGACTATAATATAATATATATATACCAACCACCCAGTTTTTAAGGCATGCTTTGCTGATCCTTTCGCAATTGGGTGATCCATCCAGCAGATTCATAACCTGCACAGCCTCCTCTTCAAGCAAGAAGCGCCTCAGGTCGTTCATGACGATGAAACTGCATAATAATATATATAATGGAATTGAATTGGAGGAGGGCATTAGATCCAGAGAGAAATCGGGGAGCAGGCCGGTAGGTAGCTTAATTACTTACTTGGACTTTGGCTTGGCCACATTTCGAAATATCTTTCTTGCAGCAATTTTGGCTTCATATTCGCTTCTGATCTGGTTAGCGGAGTCGTCGTAATCTTGTGCGGTACAATTTATTTGCTCATCCAGGGTAGACAGTACCCCGTGCCTCACTATTTTCACCAACCTCTTCATATTCCAGGCCGAAACATTCCTGGGGTTTAACTTGTGTAGATGATCAATTGATATAGCGGGAGCAGGAGCAGCTGCAGCTGCAACTCCTCCTCCATGCTCCTCTGATCCTCCTCCTCTCATGTGTGCAGATTTTCCTCCTCCTCCTCCTATTCCTATATTACTATTATTACTATTGTTACTATTATTACTATTACTATTACTGTTGATTCTGTTAAAAGCAGCCCCCGCCGGCTTGAGTTCCGGAGGCAACCTCGCCCCAGCACTCTGTAGCTTCCTCACCTCTGCCAATATCCTCTCCTCCTCTTCCCTCTGACGCTGTATCTCAATCCAGGCTGGCCCCGACAGAGTCTCTATTACGTACTGGTTGAACAGCGACACTTGAATTCTGTCGAAGAATTTGCTGACATGAAAGGAAGACGCTAGCACTTTAACCATCAGCGTCTTAACTAGCCATAACATTATCCCTATCAGCATGCACACCATCAACTTATTCACCATCTGCAGAAACTCATTATTCCCTTCCAATCTCTTGTCAAACATTGAGCGCCACGCTACGATCACCAGCCCCAACCATATGCAGTTCTGTACAGCCTTCCTCACTCCGTACACAAAATACAACAACCTTTTTCTTAACAAAAAGTTCCTCTCTATGAAGAACACCGCCACCCTTATTGCCCACCCCGATACCAGTCTCCCGCATATGAGTACAAGAATTAGCACCTCCCACTTCCACAGCCTCAGCCCCCTCAGCCTCAGCCCCTTGAGCTTCCCAATCCTCAGCGTGCAAATCAGAGCCGTGACTATGATCACAAGACTCGCCCATTGAATCACTGTCAAGGCGTTCAACTTTTCTTTCTTTAACTCATCCGGAATATCCTCATCCAACAGAGGATCCTCTTCTTCAACCTCTTCTCCCCCACCTCCACCTCCACCTCCACCTCCTCCTCTCCCCATCATTTCTGACCTCATCGGAACCGACTTCCCGAACCTCGCCGACTTCTTGATCTCCGCCACATTAGGCGGCTCGTCCATTAGCCTCGACTTTGTTTTAGTACTGATCATCCTCGACGCGAAGGAGTTACCAGCCCTCCTCTGGAACGAAGAAGTGCATCTAACCACTTGCTCGTCTCCAATCTCATGACGCCTCGAAATCACGCCCGATGCCCTTCTCCTGCTGTATTGCGGTTGATGTTCAATCACCCTTCCTCCTTCATCATCATCCGACGTTGACGATGATGAGGAATTCTCTGCATTTTGCTCGTTTTCAGCTTGATCCGCCTCCGCCGCGATGATATCTACCACTCTGCTTGGCGTTGAACACCCCGCCCCCGCCTGCAGGAATTGAACTTTTAGATCTCTGGACGTGGTAGGAACGCGATTAGTGGTTTGATTACTATGAATGTTGTTGTGTTGGTGATGATCAGGGGGTGTGGCGGAACAACTGCTGTCGTTACCGCTGTGACGACGATGACGCTGCAACTCATCCATCTCCAAGTCCATGTCCAGGCACATATCACCCCCACCCACCTTCTGCTTATTCAAAAACTGCCCTATCAACCTCGACGGCGGATCCTCCGACGCATCCTTGCTTTTGCTCTTGCTGCGCTGGACCCCTCTAATTCCATCACCTCCCAAATTGTCGTCCCATACCACGCCGCGACTCGTACTGCTGCTGCTATCACCATCTATCTTGACGACGACCTCAGGCCGGTCGTCGTCGGGATTGAGGGAAGAACGCTTCATGATGGAGGAGCCCTCATCGGAAGAATTCGTGACGTCGTCGCGGTGGCGGTTGGCGAAGAGTATTGGGCGGTAGTCCTCTTCGTGATCGTCGTCATCCGCATTACTACCGTAGATTCCTCTTGGTCGTTGTTTTTTAAAGGAAACGTGAGACTTTAAAGATTTTCGAAACGAAGAAGGGAAGCGATCCATTCTTAATCTATCAAATTTTTCTTTTATTGTATTGTTTTTTTTTCTCCTCTGAGGTAGAACTACGTGGGGAGGAATGGAAGTGGGAGAAAAGAATCATTCATCATGGGAATTGAAATTATTTAATTTTGTAGGAAGCACCGTCAACGTTAGAGTACGTGGAGCACTTATAGTTAAGGTTAGGTTGGAGGCAATAATATGTGTCATAAACATATTATTATTATTATTATTATTATTATTATTATTATTATTATTATTATTATTATTATTATTATTATGAGAAAATGACGAGTTTGGTCCCTGAGTTATAACCGTAGTGACGACTCAGTCTCTGTTTTTAGTCCTTCAGTTATGAGAGAAGTGACAAGTTTGGTCCCTGACGCTAGTGGTGTGTTGACAAAGTTAATTCCATGGATAAAGAATTAATGGCATGTCTGGTTCATGGAATAGGTCAGGAATGGAATAACATTCCTTGGAATAGACCTATTTCATCCTTTGGTTGGATCATTTTGTCATATGGGAATAACATGCCTAGGAATAAGTTATTACCTTCGCAAGGGGAATAACCATTCTTAGGGAGCCTTGGTATTTGCTATTCCCATGCCTTTGGGAATAGCTTTTATATCACAAATACCAAAAATACCCTTTGCATATGATATAATATTTATATTTATTTAATAAATATAACGTATTATATAAATGTATATATTTAATAAAGATAACGTATTATTATTATTATTGTTATTATTATTATTATTATTATTATTATTATTATTATTATTATTATTATTATTGTGTATAAGGGTATTTATGTCATTAAAATCTATTCCATTTCTATTCCTTTAACCAACCAAACACTGGAATACAATTACTAAAGTCTATTCCTTCAGCCAACCAAACAACAGAATACAATTCCTATTCTATTCCATTCCGTGTGGAATAGCATTCCTATTCCCTCCAAATTCATTCCGTGAACCAAACGTGCTGTAAATTCCTTAATAAATTAAAACTTGTAAACTTAGCCAAAATACTTTCCCTCAAATCCACAAAATCCTAAGTTGCTTATATAATCAGCGAAGAAACCCTACTCCCGTTTTTCTAAAAAAAATCAAATTTCAATATTTCAATTCTATTTATAAAAAAATAACTTAAATTACAATTTTTGGACAAATACACAAATTTGTTCCATAACATGGACAAGTTTGGTATCTTTTTCCTCGATTAGCATAATTTCATGACATTTTGATAGGTAATAAATCATCACATTTATATAGAATATTATCGCCAAATTGAGGGAAAGATAAAGTACCACAACTAAGAGATGACATCATATAATTAATTGCTAAATTAGTTCATCAATACGGAGAATATTGATCATTTATTTAAACATATAAAATAGAAAAACAACTTACTTGTGAATTTCGCAGCTTGGAAGTGGACGAATTTGAGATTTTAGAACTTGGGGAAGAAAAAGACATTCGAGGCTTCGATTGTAGGTATAAGAAGAAAAGAATGACGGTTGCGCATGAGTTTCAACATAAGAATGGGGTTATAATTTGAAATTTCTATTTTACCCCTTTATTATTAAATTATTTTTATGTTTTCCGTTACCTGCATGCAGAATATTAACGCTAGGGACCAAACTCGCCACTTCACTCATAACGGAGGGACTAAACTCGGATACGACCATAACTTAGGGATTGAATCGGAACTTGTTAAAACTCAGGGACTAAAGATGCGATTTTTCTTCTTCTTATTATTATTTGGCTAAAATATCTTTTTTCACTTGCTCTCTTTAACAATTGTTATACAGCTGCGTGGATCATGATCGTCGAATAAAACTGTAGTACAATTCAAATGATACTTTAGTATTATTACTATAATGAAACTAGTGTATATGAAAAATGAAACTAAAAAACATAACACATTATTGTCAAATTAAACTGTACTATAATTAAAATAATACTAGTGTTGCTATAATGAAATTAGTGTGCGTGGAAAAATGAAACTAAATTCCAGAACCATACAATAACATATATTCTCAAATGAACCAATGTTGGCTTCTAAGGCATACATGTCTAACAGTCTCCCACTTGCACTAGAGTCAATCGGTAATACTCATCTTCTCAAGATGCCGATCTAATTGCTATTGATTAAGTGGTATAGAAAACGAATTTGCTAGGTTATCCGTAAATGCTATTATATGCATTGCTATATCACCATTTCCAACAAACTCTCTTAGGGGATGATAGGAACAACATACTCAGCTTTAGTGGTTGAATCAACAATCATTTCCTGTTTGGAACTCTTCCGATTGACTGCACCACTATTACAAGATGTAGAGTTTCTACCATCTGGGTCTGATAGAAAATTAGAATATGTGTATCCTTCAATCTTTAATACTCGATTTTCATCAGTTAAGACTATACTCTTAATTACTTAACTGATTTCCTTTGTTATTCACCTAGATTTGACTAATGTCTGCAAGTGGCATTCACTGCATGAGAAACATCAGATCTTGTACATAACATCACATATATAAAATTTCCAATAGTCAAAGCATATGATATTTTACTTACGTGATCTCTATCTTCAGTTGTGTCAGGACACAAACTTTAGAGAGATAGATTTCATGCTTGAAAAGTAATAAAACCTTTCTTAGAATATAACATATTGAACATCTCCACAATTTGGCTACCTCGTCAAAATAGATGTTCCACATTCTAAAATTGATATCTAATATCGCCTCTTTGTAAATGATAGGATGTCACTAGACACATTATCTCCAACATTTAAAACATTCATGTTGCTCCCGGTATCAACTAGGACCCTTTCAGCATCCACTCCTATAATGTCAATAGTAACCACCAAGACTTTGCTAAGGTGATCGTCCACAATGATAAGTTAATATTTATTTGCATTTTACCCCATATTTAATCCCATTTTCAAGCTCCAAAATATAAATATCATGTCAAAAGAACTCTTATTTACTTCGTTTGTGCAATTAGGTACAATATCTCTCACTTGAAGCTAAAAAGAAAAACTATATTTTTCATACATTTTGGAAGGTATTGGAGTTAAATGGAGCATTTTGGATGCATTTGAAGTCAATGGAAGCCAAGCAGAAGCTAAGGAGATGGATAAAATACTTCAAAGAGAGTCAAGGAATGGTGTTTTCAATGTTCTTGGTCATATGAGCAAACCAAGTCAAAAGTGGAGCAAAAGATCAAAGCATTGCAATTCTCGAACAACATGTCGACATCTTAGTATTTTAACTATATCTTGATCCATTGATTATTTGTTCTCCCTAACCCCATATGTTATTATAGCATATAGAATGTGATATTTCCTATCTTGAGTTCTATCTTTTCTTATTGTGTCATTTCATATATTAAGTGTGTTGTTTTATGTTGATTTACACATCCATGTCTATGAGTGTGCTTGGATTCTTATGGATTCAAGGCTTTAGTGTTTCGAAGTTAGGCAATTATACAAGTACGTGCCATGGCACCAATCTCCTACGGAAAGACATTGTAAACTCGTACATTCACTATCACTATTTTGCTATATCACACCACCAGGAGACCATCATATGTAAAGGTGATGGGTTCCACCCTTCTATGCTTTTCTTTCGGCTCAACCTGGACAAGAAGTGCCCCAACTGGCGCGTGGTAAACACGCGTCCGCTGGGGTGCGCTGATAAGTGCTTATTTGTTTATATTTTCCTCCATTTAACTAAGTCATTTTGCTTATAGATCATTCCAAATTTCATGAGATTATGATTAAATTGTGTTATTTTGTAAGGAATTTTGTTTGGAAACAAAGATGAGTATTTTCAGGCATTTTGGTGGGCATTGGAGTCAAATGGAGTGTTTTGGATGCATTAGGAGTCCATGAGAGCCAATGAGAAGTTAAGAGGATGGACAAAATACTTCCAAGGGAGCCTAAGAGTGGTGTATTCAATGGTTTTAGTCATTTGGGCAAACCAAAACAAAAGAGGAGCAAAAGATCAAGACATTGTAATTTTCGCTCATTTCAGACACTCTTCGGTTTTTCGACCATATCTCGGCCTAGGAATGTCCAAATGAAGTGATTCTTGCACCATTGGAAATCCAACATAAAGGGCTACAACTTTGTTGAAGACCACAAGTGCCTATAAAATGGTTTTAGGGGTGAAAAATAGCCTAGAAGTCAAGACAAGTGTACATAATTCTGTTTCCAAGAGCCTCGTACTGCCTTGCGTACCCCCATCCCTTGGCCAGTACGAATATATTCTCCCGATCCAGTGTTCACTGGAAAGGCACCAAAAATTGTACCCTCTGGCGTACGGCCGTCCCTAAGGCAGTACCATTGTGCTCTGTTCACTATTTAAGGGAGATTTTCCTCATTTCTACACGGTTTTGACTTTTGTTAGAACCCTAGAACTCTCATTCACCTCCCTTCATATTTTTAGGTTAGATTAGGCTTAGATTTAGGTTTCTTAACACTTTTGAAGCTTGTAATCTTGGATTTGAAGCTTGGATTCCAACATTTCAAGATTCCACCATTCATTTTCAATATAGAAGTTTTCCTTCCTTTTATCTCTTTCTTTTGCAAGATTTATGTTTATTACTTATGTTTTTGTGTTCTTTATGCTATTTAATAATGAGTAGTTAGCTTATGGACTTGAGTTAGGGTTGTATTATCTATCTTGATGCTTGATTTGTAATTATTACAAAAAAAAAAAAAAAAAGGGAAGAACTCCAACCTAGGGTTCATGTGTTTGTGAAGGTTTTGTATTTATATCTTGTTAATGTTTGATGTACACATTCATTAGCTTGTTTTTGGAGGATTCCTTGCCTCAACAAGAGTTGGGTGATGAATTCAAGCCACCCCTTGCATAGACCGATTTCTTCCTATGAAAATAGGGAAAATTGGGGGCTTTAGATGTTTTTTATGCTTGAAGAGCTTGGAGTTGATTCACCCCGAGAGTGAGGCATTCCTTGTTCTAATCCTTGTTTGTTAATCACGAGAGTGGTTCGTAAACTAGGATACCTACGTGCATTCCCACTTGATTCTTTGGTTATTTGTTCTCCCTAATCTCATAGGTTGTTGAGGTATCTAGATGATAATGCTCCCTAGCTTGAGTCCTATTTCTTTATTTCGTGTTCATCTCTTGTTAATATGTGTTAGTGTTGTTTTGTTTAGTTACCGTAGCCTTAACTTCGTTATGATTTGCTTTGCTTCTTGTTGGTTTCCTTATACTAGTGCCTAGTTGCTTGTGATTGCATATTGCGTGCCATAAATCCAATCCCCTGAAGGCGACATAACACACTCATACACTCACCATCATTCATTTTTACCACAATCATGCGCAGTGCGCTCCAAATGCTCGTTCGCTCTTTTTTTTTTTTTTTTTTTTTTTTTTTTTTTTTCTTCTTCTTCTCATGCAAAAATCATGTATTTGCAGGAGATTTTTTTGACAAAATACCATGTTCCCCATTTGATAAAAACCAACTCTTCAGTTTTTTACTATTCCAAAAACCAATAAAGAACCCCTATTGGGTTGCTCTAAATTGAATAAAATTAAAGTAGAAGGACTAAATTGAACAAAACACTATAGTACAAGGACTTCATAAGCACTTTGACCCCATAATTGCTACTTCTTAAATAGGGTGGTGCCAAGATAAATATGCAGCCCGGATGTGATCGTTACATGGCCCTTGGTTTCTTCGAATCGGCTCTCCGAGTTGAGTACATCCTGCATGCCCAATTATCCTATCGGTTCCAAAGGGTCCCAATGTTGTTTGGCTCTGATTGGTTCCGGCTGATTTATCTCATGTATGTTCGGTTGTGCATGTATAAGCCCTATCAGTCAATAACTGAAAAATTATAAGCAATAAGTGCAAGGGAAAAGAAGTAAAAGAAAATACCTCCCACCAATCCACCATTAGCTCTATTGGTCAAGCCTTGCATATATATATATATATATATATATATATATATATATATATATATATATATGTGGTGAGTTTTAATTGAAGTTCAACAATTGGTCGCCTCTTGCATGAACTCATAATTGTATAGAAAAATAAATATGTGTTAAGGGTAAAAAAAAACACTAAACAACAAGCACAACTGAAGATGAAACACTTAACTATTTATAGTTGAAGGGGGTGGACACAAATTAAAAGGAAAAACGCAGGTCATAATTGTGTTTGTCGTACAGTACACACTAGAGTTTTATTTATTTATTTTTTCTTAGTTGGGACAAACAAGTGTGACTTGTGACTTGCGTTTCTCGCAAATTACGAAAAATGCAAGTGCACTAGTCCTAAATTATGTTGGAAATATTTTTCTGGTGAGATTTAGACACACAAGTTAAACTTGTGTTTCTCGTATTTATTTTGACAAATGCAAGTCATGCAAGTATGACTTGCATTTATCATATTTCAAGAAAAAAAATTCATAAATTTGACAAAATCAAGTGGGACTTGTTTTTTGTTTTACTAGAAACTCAAGTCCCAATCGAGTTTTTCCTCTGTCCATATTTTTGAAAGTTACTCATTTTTGCTACTCATAAAATATGCCTATTTCAGTCAATTTCCCCACATAAATCAAGTATCTACATCTATATACAAATCTAATAAGAGCAAATAAAGTTACGCCCCTAACGTGAATTAAAATTTATTGTTGTAATTGTTTGTTGAAATGAATGGTTCATATTATTTTGATTTCAATATTTTTTTATTTTTCCTATTTTACCCTCTTTTATATCATTTATTGCAGTGAAGCACACCAAGGACTAGATCAAATCAAAAATTCATTTCTGGCGAAAGTGACTACAAGATGAAGCATGAAGCCATGAATCACGCTAATTAATATAATTTTGTGTTGCAAAAACTACGCTTAGGGTACTATACAGTGAGTGTGCTTCCCTTTAAAATAGTTATTGCACCAGTTAATCCAACATTTCTGCACATGTTATAGTTATGCATTCTTGAAATATTTACTTTTATGAAAAAATTGATAATCTTGCATTGATATACGCCAAAATACTGAATGATACTTTGATAAGTTCTAATACACTAATTTAAAAATACACATTGAGTATCAGACTATTCACGCAATGCACGTGTGGTAACTAGTTAATTATATATACTCGATCATGCTTTGAGTATGTTACATGGGTTTTTCATTTATTTAAATGGAGCAAATTCCTACTTTTTAATTTATTACTAAATGAGATTAAAGTTGTGTATAAAAGTCAAAAACATTGTGGTCAAGCAGCATGAAGTAACTCTTTCAAATGGAAAGTTATGGGTATGAGCCTCAATGGAGGCGGTGTGTCAACGCCAATAAGGAGATGTTTGGTTGAATGAAAAAAAAAATCTTGAAAATGTTTTTCCTTAAATTTGAAGCAAATTTTCTTTCACTTGGATTCATGAAAATTTTTCTAAGGAGAGAGATGGTATTTTGTTTTTCACATAACTTGGAAACAAAAGTGACTTACATGACTATTTTGTCTTTGTGATTTATTCTTACTTTATTATCACTATTATTATTATATAGGGACATATAGATATTTAAATCATCATTTTGGTCTCTCAACTGTCAATGTAATTCCTAATTTTCAATTTCAACCAATTTGATAAAATTTCATCAATTAAACCCTTTCAAGGATCAAAATGGTGATTTTCAGATTTTAAAAATTTCATCAATTTGGACATTTGGTCCTTGTAAATGTTTAATTGTTGAAATTTTAAACAATTCAAGAATGAAATTGATTAAAATTGAAAACTAAGAACTACATTGACAGTTAGGAACACTTGAAGGACTAAAATGATAATTTTATCTATTCATTATTCCTTACAATTCCAAATCAAACCAAACAATAAAATCAATATTCTCAGTAATTTTTTTTTTTCACTAACCAAACAATGAAATCAATATTTCTAGTAATTGCTTTTCTATGAAATTTTAATTTTAATTTTAATTTTATTTCCACTCAAATATTTCCAGCGAGCGAATCAAATGGGTCTGAATGATCGAATGGCATTGTCACTCTCCGTTGCTGGCGGAACATCAAACCTGCAAACCATAGATAAATAAAACAAGCTAGGAAGCGTCCAAGGTATGTATGTATGATTGTATGTATGTATAAACTAACATTGTACAACTAGTCAACGGTGTCTGTGTCTGAGGGCAGACAAAAATCCTCCAGAAGGTTTCTGCTTGCGCCGATCATGTCCTTCGTCTCCTACCTGCTACCTCCACGTATCAGGACATCACAATAATTAATTAACACACACACACACATATATATATATACCAGTGTCAATGTCATGATTGTTGTGTTTATCCAAAAACTAGTAACTACTAATACTAATATGCCTTACATACCTCCTTTGCCATTTGCTGCAAACTTTCTGTAATCTCAGAAAAATCAGGTCTACAAGTAGGATCGTGTTGCCAGCATTTCTCAAGCAGCTCAGCAAGCTTGGGATGAGTTTGCTTGGGTAAAGTAGGTCGTAGTCCCTGAATATATATATATATATATATATATATATATATATATATATATGCAACCCAATTACATACTAACCAGCCTTTTGGTTAAAATCGTGACAGACATAATATATTCTTTCACTTTCACAAATAATGAAGGGATTAAAAATCCTTAGACAATTTCAGATTGTTTAACCAACCGTCAACTCCAACATTTGGAGTCATTAACGTTGGGATACAACTATGGATAAAAATTTTCCCAGTACCTTGTACATTTACTTTCTAATAAATATATAGACCACCCACCTACACAATATATTTAATAACATTCCACCCTCCCTCCTCCTGTCCTCCATTATATATTCATCTTAATTCTTAAAGTAAATTATTTGTGAGCCGCCACTAATATGTGAAATGTATCCAATGCGGGATTTGGGGAGATTATTTCTGGCAAAACCACATCATGCTAGGTGACAAAGGTTCCTTCCTTATATCATATATGTATATATAGATATGCAAAATATTTCCATGCAACGGAAATATGATTTAAAAAAAAAAAAAAAGTCATATTAAGAAAAGAAGCATTACCTTCTGGACCACACCAATAGCAGCTTGCAATGGTGTTAGGTACTCATATGGAAGCTGGCAAGTCAAAATAAGAGAGTATTAGCAGAATGAACTGAAAAACAATAAAGCTAATTTCAGCATCATGTACCTTTCCAGTCAATAACTCCCATAACACAATGCCGAAACTGAAAACATCAGCTCTTTGATCATAGGGCTTGTGTTCTATAACCTTCAAGGGAAAAGAGCAGCTATAAGCAAATGCAGGTTTGGTAATTACATTAAAAAGTAGATATCAACTAAACCAAGCTTCTCAAATATAAGGAATGCATGCTCTTTTGTTCTCTGAACGCCAAAGCATCTACTCAATCAGTGGGTGTACGTGACTTTTAAGTGTTTGGCCTACCCAAGGTATAGTAATCTCACTTTCAAGACACTCTCTCAAACTTGATTTAAACATGAATCAGAGCAGGAAATTAAAAGCTCATCAAATGCCAATTAATAATTGAACATTTCTGTGGATGTGCAACCTTTATTTGAGACTAGATGGGTGAGAATTAAGTTGCTACCAGATTTTATGACCATTCACTTCTTATTTTGAGCACTGAAACAAATTACTAATACTTTCAACCAGGTATCAATTGGCAAAATTAAGTGTATATGAAATCCAAATTATTTAGAAACTTGAAGACAAAGCCTGGCCAGCCAGCCCAATAAACCATATCCATTGTAGGAAAAGAACTCCATGCACTAAAATGCATTGATCATCTATATCCATGTTTGATAGCACAGGATAAGGCAATAACATACTCAACATGATTAGCCTATATTGTGTTTGAAATGCCAAAACCCCCCTTTTTATCATAAGATAAGTATCCCACATTGAGATAATTTTCCCTCTACCTAATCCCATCCTGTGGCAATTACACATTGTATGAGTAAACAATTATCCACTTCCCGTTCCTAATTTGACAAAGAATACGTACCTCAGGGGCCATCCAACGGTATGTCCCAGTTTCTGCTGTCATGATTCCACTTTGTGCTTTAACTCTGGCAACACCAAAATCAGCCACTTTGACAACCTGAAACAGCATCCACAAAATATTTTAAAAGTCAAAATCATGTGCATTTAATTCAAATAAACTGTAAGAAACAACTGGAAATTAGCAATGCTAAAAAAAACTATAAAAAGCAAATCAATTACTCCGTATATCAGTAATAATTACATACCGGAACTGAAAACAATAGTCATATAGAGCAAGGAGGAAAAAAGTTAAAAGTATACTCTTACTTCATTTTCATCCATCAAAAGATTGGCAGCTTTCAAATCCCTGTGTATAATGTTATTCTGGTGCAGGTAATTCATCCCTTTTGCCACATCAATTCCTACTTTAAGCAAATCCGGGAGTTTGAAACTTCCCTTTTGTTTGTGCAAATAGTCATATACACTTCCTCCAGACATGTATTCTACAATTAATAATGAAATATAATGGAGATAATACTTGAACAAAGCCTATAATGAAAATTAAGGGTGTGTTTGGTTCATGGGTTTACATACCATGAATGAAAATCAAAATCATACTTAGTGTTTGGTTGACAACTTTTTAAAACACAACTATGAGATTTGATTACCCTTCAATTAAAAACCTCATTCCCTAATTAAAAACGGGTATCATTTCATCTTATTGGTAATCTGATTTTTACGTTTGGATTAATGCTTTTAGATTTTTGTTTTGATTTTTTTTGTTCATATTAGTGCTTTGGATGTCATTATATTAGGATCAATTGCCTTAATTTTTTATTTTTGTATTTTTAAAACCTTTATTTTCATTATAGGGTCATACATAACCAAACATCAATATTGGTAATCATTCCAATTCCACCCTACTACCAAACATGCAAAATACTTTTACCAAAACCTATTACCGTTACCAAGTATTCGATTCTCATTCCGATTCCGATTCTGATTCCCTTGTGCGAACCAAACACACCCTAAGTTCCACCAATTCAGTTTCTAACAAAACCCAGCTGGAATAAGCTACAAGAACATTACTAGTCTATTGAGAAACACCTGTAACTATGCACAAGTTTTGAGGCTTAGTGCAAGCTCCGATGAATTGCACGACATTTTTGTGTCGAACTTTTCTGCAAGCATTAGAAAATAGTCAAGCCTGAGTACAAGGACATCTTAAAAAGATAGAAGCATTAAGAAATACATAGATTAGTTGAATACAAGGCAAGCATCAGAGTCACATGTTGCAGATATTGTGATTAGCCATTGAAACAGCCTATCCCCATCATTTGTGGGAGGAAACCAATACTGAAAGAGGGAATATAGGTTATTATGCAGACAAGCTGCAGCTGGAAAGTGGTATAGAACTGACTAAAAGTTAGGCTGTGTTTAAAACCTATGAAAATCTCACCAAATAACACATAGTACAAGTGTACAATAGTTTTAAAGAGTAAGTACTAATCCAGAGAAGAAGACTGAATAGCACAGTAAAAGACACTTTCATGACAATTGCATTAGCTTTGAAGAAGTTTACTGTATTAAACAAAAATGAAGAACTTATCTATGAGCTAAGAAAACCTTATGCAGGCAGCCTTCTTTCTCATAAAACAGTAAGAGTTTAACATGAGTTTTGAGAAACCTCATAATATACACTTCTTGAGCAAACTCCTTGTGCAATTCTGTGTTCACACGTTCAGACTTCAAAATTTTGATAGCAACTTCCTGACTGCAGTATGTGCCTTTGTATCTAGAACAAACAAAAACATGAGTTAATTGGAAACAAATACAGTGCCATGAAATTGTCTAGCATGTGAAAAACTTACAGATCACCATATGAACCCGACGCAATCTTGTACTCAAATTTTAGAAGTTGAGGATCAATTTCCCAGACATCAGTAACATCATTTAGTATTGTCAAGTGATCAGGCTCACATTTGATCACCATATGGTTATGCTCACCTTCACTCAATGACTGCGAAGAATTTTTATTTTGCCACCAGTGTTTCTGCATAACACTTAATCCTAGTCAATCATTGTACAGAATCACATGGAGAAACAAGGCAGTTGATAATTGATCTAAATTTATTTTTTTAAACAAAAAAAAAACATTTATAAAATAAAAAATTAAAAATTTAAAAAGAGAGGAGAAAATTGCATACACCTATTGCAAAATTGGCACTGCATTGACATCAAAGCATTAACCAAGGAACATAAATTGATATACAACGATAAAAAGATTTTTAAATAATGAGAGGGCAAGAGTCTAGACTATTTACAAGTGAAAACTATCATTGCTGAAACAATTTGGCAACAAAAGATCAGATAACCAATCCTCAGCCCTCTCTCCCCCTCCCAAAAAAATAAATAAATAAATAAATAAATAAAGCAAAGTTGATTTTCATCTGCAAGGCAACAAGCAGCATGTATTGAAATCTCTAGAATATACTGAACATTTGATTATGTTTACGGTTTACCAAAGAGCAGGAAAAAAAAAAAAAAAGGTACCTCAACTTTCAAAACTTCCCTTTCCAGTGCAGCTCGTAGTAGCTCAGTTTCCTGAAAAGATAAGGAGTTATTGCCAGAATTTATTCTTTGAACATGAATGCACAAACAAACAGGTAGGTTCAAAAAGAATAACATTGTTAGTCCCTATTAAAGTGATAAAACACCAGAAGCAAACAGTCTTTTGGGCTGTGCAAATAGGGGGAAAAATGGGTAAAAGAATATACAATAAGTTGTTAGTTGGGTAACACCAAATTTTATTGAAAACATCCCATGGGCCAAAACAAATTTTCAGGAAGCAATTAATATCCCACTACCTAATAACTGATGAAGCTTTGATCATATCAATAATGAAGGCAGGAGGCAATATTAGTTTTTGTTCACGCAGTAGCAATACTGAACAAAAGGTTTAAAAAGTTATACAGTCTATCATTTTTTAAGAATGAACAGACTAGGATATATAGACCTGGTTTCATGCAGCAATACACTTGATATACTTTGAGATGTGATAGGCCATACATATACCTCATAAGGCCAACCATCAACAACAAAGACATCCAAGGAGAAGCAATCAATAGTGGAAAAGACATGTGCTTCCTGAATGTTTAATCCAAGTTCAGCTAGCAATGAAGTCAACTGCAAGCATTTAGGGGAAGAAAAACCAATATGTTTCACAAGTTATATATATTGTAAGAAGAAAAAATTAATAAAATAGAAGATTTGTGAACTTTGACAGCCCATCAACATCCCAATTCCCAACCAACTGTATACATAAAGTATATTGGAAAGCGTATCACATACCTGATTGAGGAGCTTTGGCTTGTCAACTGTTGAAAATGTAATTTCATGCATGGGCCTACACAAGTTTAAGCCACACTTAAAAGTGAGCTACACCGGTGTATATACACATAGGCAATGAGGTAACTTTTTCTGCTTCAAGATTTTAAGTAAAGTTGAATATTCCAACTTTCAATAAGGATCTTCACTAAAAAAGTTTTGGGATAAATTCATTCTTCAAAGTAACTTTCCATGATGGCAGAGGTTAATAGTGTGAACAGTCAGTGAAAGAAATTTAGAGATAAATTCATCATAACTAGGAGCAGCACACCACATTATAGGTACAATCACTTATCATCCTTCCATGAGAAACTAAAATGATAAGTATGAAACTTACTGTGCTATATACCTTGACAGTTTTGCCGAAGGTTGAAGAGTAGTATCCCCTTCCTGAACTTGGGATTTGCTTGCTTCCAGAGCAAGAGCTTCAAGATTAGGAGAAGAGCCGAAGGAAGGTGGTGGATGGATGCTGGGATTTTGAAAAGGAAGGTAAAGAAGGACTTAGATAATTAAGAAAAAGGGTATCCAATGGCATATAGGAAATAGAAATACACACACACACGCACTTACTAAAAAAAAAAACCTGAAATAACCATTGGGCTTAAAGACAATATAACATCTTCTGCATGCAACATGATTTTAGAATAGACTATATCACTCTTGATAATACCTCCGTGTGACTTCTTTCTCAGGAGAGTTCAAACAGACAGACTCCAATGAGTTCACATCAGATACTGGGGCAACCTGTGTAATGGCAAATTGGATCCAATAGTTGTACCCAACATTCACACGGATAACGTATCAATAACAGGTAATCGACCAAAAGAATAATATTGGGGTGTAAGACATATACAGGTGAAAAGTGAAAACCATAGAGTGTAGTCCAACTGAAGCATATCAGGATGAAAATTATGTGTGAGATGATTGAATAATTTTAAATGCAAGAATATTTACTGTTATATAAATCATAAATTCATTTTTAAGAAGGGCATTTTATATAAACCATAATTATTTCCCATTCCATAGAGTGCTCACCTTACATTCTTTAATTCTACATTGCATGCAATATTGCAATCCACCAAAAGTTTGAAAATAAATGAGTAAGGTCAGGGATGTGTGTTGACAATATAGCAAAGTACTTTCACAGGATTAAGTGCATAATCCATGAAAATTGGATAGTGCAACTAAACTGAACTACCTGCACCAGCCGAACATCAAAGGCAGGCCTATTGGTAGGATCACATGCGAGATGCAGAAGTCTTTTGTGGGTGAGAACATCTTCTGCCCTTTCCACGTTGACATCTAATGCATACCTTCAATAATAATATACAAATATCAGAAGCCTCAAGTAACAAATTCATCCCTGGCTAGCACTTGTTTTAATATATGGTTAATAATTCTATTAGGCATGAGGGATTCTGTGAGGAGCGTTGTTTCTGAAACAGAACAAATAATATGAGACGTAAATGCTGATTTGATATGAATGTAAAAAAAAGCATTCTGATCTCAAGTACAAACAAAATAAATTCCGAAATATAAAGAGATAGTCAATAATAATAATACGGAGTAAGAGATAACCTGGTATAGAAATTCAAGCAAGTGAGCAAGATCGAAATAAATATAAATACCCACATTACGAATGGGTGTGTGTGAAAGCAGTAGGGAAAATTGTATATGTAAATAGAGAGAGAGAGAGAGATGTAAAGGTACCGAGTAGGCAGGCGGTTAAAGTGAGCCCAGAGCTGATCATCGAAACCAGGAAGTTGGGCGTCGTGGTTGTTGAGATCCTTGAGCCGCCGCAGAACCTCATTGTAAACCTCAACCTTTTTTGCGTGATGTCTAGTGTTAGCAGGCGCCGATGAGTCGGCCACGCCACAGCCAGTACTGCCGCAACTCTCGTTTTCTTCCATCACCATCTGAGATTCTTCGCTTCCTTAGCTCTTATACCCACGCCTAACGAATTAACAAAATCGAAACGATCCTCCCTGCCTCGACAAACTTAGATTCTCCGATCCTTCAACGCGAAAACCAATTCGATCGATCAATGCGCTGCCATTTACGTACTGAATAAGATACGAAAATTTTCCTCAAAAGGATCCCACCACAACTTGAATTTTGTGTATGCACGTTTAAATCATGTATAGCATTTGCATATAAACAAGTCGTCAGTGGGTATACTGTACAACTATCAAAGTTCATAAGTTAAGGACAGATTTTGTGGCGAGGAAAAGTGATTTAATGCCGTCTCACCTCTTCTCCTCTTATTCATATTCCTTTCTCTCACTAAACCTCTCCCCCTCTAACTCTTTCTGCTTTATCGGTGTGAGCTCTGGTAGTGCAAGTTTGCAACTCACGATGCTTAACGCTATAACTGCGGTTCTAAGATTGCGGGTTGGATTGGATCGCTTTCCTCGGTGGCTAATCTCCTATTGTCTTCGTTGTTTTTCTGTGTGTTTTAATTAAGGTTATTTAAAAGGTGTTTCTTTTCGTATTTAAGAACTAACTTGCTCTTTCAGTCTTTGGTTGGTGGAAATAAATATAAATTTGTTTCTTAATTTTTTAACATGTAAAAATTACATTATTTATTTAAAGGGAATTGTAATTTTCTTATTAGAATTGAAATCCAAAAATTACAATACCAAGTTAAATGAGGGAAAAAGATGTATTATTCCTAAAAATTACATTATTTATTTAATGGGAATTGTAATTTTCTCATTAAAATTGAACATCCAAAAACTACAATTCCAAGTTCTTTTTTTTTTTTTTTTTTGAATGCCAATTCCAAGTTAAATGAGGGGAAAAAGTGTATTGTATGAATAACCTATCCCTCCCTCTTTATGGATTACATTAGTGCCTCGATAAGCGAATTCACAACTAATTTGATTTCACTAGACCACAAGATTATTGACGACTTTTATATCACTTATTCTTCCAATTCTCATATTTACCATACACTTATATTATTGCCTACCAAACAATGGAATTTGAATTCTTCATAATTTCCACCTTATCCTTTTTCTTAATTCTAACCAAACCTCCATAACTTTCACGGTTTCACCTTATATCTTTCCTTCGGGCATCCTCAATAGTGAGGTTTTTGGTGTGATTTTTAGGTGCCAAGTAGGAGAGAGAGGATGGAAGAAGAAGAAAAAAAAAAACAATGGTCTAACGCAAAAAAAAAAAAAAAAAAAAAAAAAAAAAAAAAAAAAAAAAAAAAAACAAACAAACAAATAAACAAAAAAAAAAACAAAAAAAAAAAAAGTTGTGATGCGCCAGAGAGCGCATGAAATGCACGTGCCCCGCTGGGCGTCATTTTTTGTGCGAAACGCGCATTGCTGCGCGTTCATCTTCATCTGACCTGTGTTGTGGGACCCACAAAAAATCCCTTCTTAGAGCATCACCATCAGCAGTTCATACTGTTATTGGAACAGTATTATGCGGAGCAACAGATGGGAGACATTTGTTTTAAGAAAAATAATTCCCCTGCAAAGATTGGGGGCAGGGAAAAAAAGAAAGGGAAGCTCTGCAGATGCGCATTGGGCGCAATTCGTGCCCGTTGGGGCGCGTCAGGCGGCCACTCTGACTTTTACACTATTTTCTACTTTTAAAAAAAAAATGTTAGATTTTGTTTTGTTTTTTCTTTTTCTTTTTCTCCCACATTTTTATCTCTTTCTTAATCACATTTACAAAAACCCTTTAAAAACCGCAACGGAGATCAACTACTAAGGGCATCCTCAATAGTGGTAGGATTTTGAGGAAATTTTGCAGGTGTGATTAGGAAAAAGAAATGGGTGAAAAGGAAAATAAATAAATAAATAAAAAACAAAATCAAAAGTTAAAAAAAAAAAAAAAAAAAAAAAAAAAACCCTCAACCCCCCCCCCCCCCACCCCAAAAAATCTTCGGTCAAAATCTCTTAAATAACCTAACAACCCCAACCCTCTCTCTCCTCCAACACATCAATTTTTTTTTTTAATTGTGTGCAAAATCTCCCTAATGAAGATGCTTTTAGAGGAGGAGCTTTATATTTCTCTCTCATTTCTCTCTTTCTCATCCACCTCAATCATTTTGCCTCAAAATCTGATCGTATTATTAGTCTTTTTGATGGAATGGTTAAACACATTTTCTCAACTCTCCCAAATGGACCAATTAATTATAGAATATGTGTTTTATTTTATATTTTTCAAGTTGAGTTCTACAATTACGAATTACCCTTTAAAATTACTTCCGGATTTTTAGTTATTAATGCATTTCTTTTTAACTTTTCCTTATTTAAAAAATGCTACATGATTTATTTTTAACATTTTTTAAAAGAATTAATACGACATGACCTCCGAGTACAGTGATCTTGTCACATTTAGCCCTAAACTGTCAAATTGACCATCTGTGATCCTTCGACTTTCAAATTTAACCATTCGTGGTCCAAGTTACCTACACATGGTCCTTCAACTTTTGAAATTTAACCAACCGCGGTCCTCTTGAAAGGGCCATGGTTGGTTAAAATTTAATAGGAGTTTGCATACTACTTGACAGGATAATGGTGCTGACACCCGACCCGGATCATCAACAGGCACTCGACCCGGCACCACGTGGAAACCCAACGGACAGAATTCCAACGAGCAGACACCAACGGGTGGTGACTTTACTGCCACTTATTGCCATCATTGAAGGGAAAGAATTAAAGCCTCCGCTCCCTATTTATGCCCCACTATGTTGTTACTGTTAGGGCCTAGTATAAGTAGAACTCCCCTCAGCTAGGAGGGGACACGTTGACTATATTGTACTGAGACACTTTAGCAAATACAATTCATTATTCTGCTATTATAATATTTTTATCCGGTAACATATTTACCGTCACTACTAAATTGCTTCATCATCTCAGCCATTCGTGCTTGAAATTCCTGATTTTATTTTTTCTAACGCCACAACAATAGCAGAATCAATCATTTGTTTAACTTATTTTGTAGACATCTGTCTTTGGCGACGTTTTGCATGACCAAATACGCTTTTTATGTCATATCATCTTCCCATGCCTCAACACGTCCGGATGCTCATCAATATCTAGCCCAAAAGACAATATATCTTATCTTCCTGACGCAACAAGTTCTCCTTGAGAAGCTTGCAACTCGAGATAATCCTAACATATACAAAGAATATTCAATAATGATACCTATTATATTTTGTCCACTTTATTCAACATAACTATTAATGTAGAAAATTATAATATTTACTTACAATTTTTTTTTTCACGACCATTCTAGTCGTTTCGGTGTGAAAATTTTCCGACTTATACATTCTTGTTCTCTTCCACTTTTCGTGTCTACGTGGAGAAGATGGAGGAGTAAATACATACAATGAATCTTTATATGTAATTTCTTGTTGTTCTTTCACATCCTCTTTCATCATAATCTTCTCCAACCTTTGATATCCCCCTCGAGCTAAACTATGTGGATGAGCATTCTTTGCTTCTATCTCTTAATACTTTTTTTCTTTTTGCCTACATAAAATGTACAATATAATAATATGAAAAAGAAATGAAAAGAAGTTAAAATGTACAATATAATAATATAGTTGGACTTTTATATATTTGATCAAGCATCTATTTTCATAGCATACAAAATTTAAATTTTACTTTTTGTATGGTTAATATAATATCTAGTTAGGTACATATTTAGATAAATTTATAGATAAAATTCACATAATTAAGTTGGTTTATTCCTAATTGTATTTCATATATATTATAATTCTAAAATTATGAATAATAACTAAGATAATTATACTTAGAAATCAATAAAAAATATAAATTTTAAATTTTGTATGAGTAAATTTAAACTCGGACACCCTTCCTTATATGATTATACAATACATTGTATATACACATAATATTAATTAATATGTATATAGACAAATTCTATAATATAATGTCATTAATTATAATTTATATTGATAGATTTATAATTACAAAATTACATTTCAAAATTAAAAAATTAGCATTTAAAATTTGTATAATTAATATAGTGCATAAGTATATGTATGTAAATAAAAAAGAAGAAGAAAATCATAAGAGGAACGCATATATAGATGTCATACAATATCTTACATGAGCCAAATTGATATAAAATTTAATAATTAGTTTGAAATCAAATACATGAAACATTTTGATATTACAATTAAAAAAATACTATTATTTTATTGATTTAAAAAAACATCACCAGCCGCTTATTTCTTTTGATCTGGTCGTCGACAGTGGTGTCTTCTTCAAATGTGAAAACGGGATAGGAGCGAGAGAGGCCATCCACAGTCGAGAAGGTAATTTTACCGGCGTCCAAATTAAGGATAGAAATATGGGTGAGCGTGACCTAAAGGACCAGCTCCTTACACTTGACGCCGGTAAGGTGCTACAGCCGACGGTCCTCCACAAAAGCGGTGACCTCGTGCATATTACATGTCAATTTATAAAGTTGTAATATGATTTTTAATGAGCGGTGGAAGAAGGAAACGAAAGAGTCTCATGCAAGGGATGAAGAGGAGTGCAATGTAAAATGAAGACTTATAATTTTTTTTAGTCATTAACCAATTGTATTTATAGGTGACAAAATATGAGAATTATAAATTTGTAAGATTTTTTCAAAAGGAAAGTATATTTATTTATTTAAGGTATTACCCTAATCAATTCATTATATTGATATTCATAATCAGTTCATTATATTGATATTCCTAATTAATTCATAATAGGGAAAATGGCACTTTTTCCCCCTGAGTTATATACTTATAGCACTTTTCCCCCCTCAATTATTCAAGTGGCTGTTTTTCCCCCTAAAATGTTAAATGGACATATTTACCCTTAAAATAAATATTTTATTTATTTTCTTCTCCAACAAATTATGACCATAATTTGGTTCAAACCAAATAAACACTATAGCAACCAAACCGAAATATTCCAATTACAATTTAGAATCGAAACTCGATATTTAGAGTTTATTAAAATCCCGGAACGGACAGTTCATGTTCCGAACTGAAAAAATAAAATACATTTATTGTTGAATTTAGACTATTTTTAAAATAAAAATAAAATTTTAAAATAAAAACGGTTCAAAATCGCGAATCGGGTCCAGAACCGCCGGTTCACGGTTCATGATCCAATTTTTTTGATTCATAATTTTAATAAATTGAAATCCAAATATTGGGTTCTAGATCTGAATCATAACCGGAAATTTTTAATTCGATTGCTATAATGTCCGATTCAGTTCGAACCGAATCGTGGTCATCCCTACATATACGCAATAATTTGTTGGAGAAGTAAAATAAATAAAATGTTTATTTTAAGGGTATAAATGTCAATTTAATATATTAGGGAGAAAAACCACCACTTTTAGAATAATTGAAGGGGCTAATGTGCTTACCTAAATAATTGAGGGGGGAAAAGTGCTATAAGTATATAACTCAGGGGGGAAAAATGTCATTTTC